TCGCAGATGGCCAGTTTGTCCGGCATCATGCGTGTGGGACTATGAAGGCATTGTATCTACAGGAGAGACCTGCGGAGACATGTGTCCCAATGGAAGGCCATGTAGAGACAGTGAGACGACAAAGTGAGACAGGAGGGCAGCTCCCAGGTTAAGATAAAGAGAGGCATCCCCTTCAAGGAGATAACACCTATACACAGGGCAATTCTGCACTGGCTTTTCCCTGTTGTTTCATGAAACCCACGTTGGAACAGAAATTCCTCTCTGCCTTAATTATCAAGAAGATTTTTACACAGTCTTTATTGGGATATTTGGTTAATATCGCAGAATTGGCCCAATCACAGAAGCATGATACTGAGTGCAATAAATAAATCTCCCAAGAAGTACGTTGCAAAAGGTAAAAACTTACATTTATTCAAGAAGATTCCCGTTCTCATTTGCATTTATTCAAGAAGCTTCCCATTCACATGCAGTCGAAAGGAGAGAGAGAAGCACAATCTAAAGAGTACTTTCCCCCATCGCAGATGGCCAGTTTGTCCGGCATCATGCGTGTGGGACTATGAAGGCATTGTATCTACAGGAGAGACCTGCGGAGACATGTGTCCCAATGGAAGGCCATGTAGAGACAGTGAGACGACAAAGTGAGACAGGAGGGCAGCTCCCAGGTTAAGATAAAGAGAGGCATCCCCTTCAAGGAGATAACACCTATACACAGGGCAATTCTGCACTGGCTTTTCCCTGTTGTTTCATGAAACCCACGTTGGAACAGAAATTCCTCTCTGCATTGCATGCTGCTTTCACTTTCTTTGACATTGGATTTTATTTTATGGTTAAGACGCTGAACTGCAGGCTGTGGAAGGTCAGTAGTTCAGCAGTTTGAGACCCGGGTGCCGCATGATGGAGTGAGCTCCCATCTCTAGTTCCAGCTCCTGCCAACCTAGCAGTTCGAAAGCAAGAAATTGCAAGTAGATAAATAGGTACCACTTCAGTGGGAAGGTAACAGCGTTCCGTGCGCCTTGGTGTTTAATCATGCCGGCCACATGACCACGGAAACGTCTTCGGACAGCGCTGGCTCTTCGGCTTTGAAACGGAGATGAGCACCGCAACCCTAGAGTCGGATTCGACTGGCTTTCGAGCAAGGGAACCTTTACCTTTATGCATAGCTTTATGGCCATTCAGGGGTGACTTTGCAGTCAGTACGGAATTGCCCGGAGATATTTGAAGGTAGTTTTGAGCTGCACTTTTTCCTCCCAGTTGAGAAAATGTGGAGCGAATGCTAGATGCAGGATCACCCACACTTAGAGTGATGTAACACCCTCCAACGTCCAGGCATGCTGAGTCGCTCACTCCATTCGTCTTATATCAGGCTACGGGGGGGGGGGGGGCTCATACAACAAAACAGACTAAAGGGTTGTTTTGGAAGGTAAGTCCTGACTTGGATAGCCTCGGCTAGCCCAATCTCATCAGATCTTGGAAGCTAAGCAGGTTTGGCCCTGGTCAGTATTTGGATGGGAGGTCACCAAGGAATACTTGGGTTGTGACACAGAGGCGGGCAATGGCAAACCACCTCTGAATATTTCTTGCCTTGAAAACCCTACAAGGCCCTGCCACAAGTCTGTATTGGCCTGCGTGACTCCATCTTTGCTACATGCCAGTTTGGTGTAGCGGTTAAGTGCGCGGACTCTAATCTGGGAGAACCGGGTTTGATTCCCCACTCCTCCACTTGCACCTGGCTGGATGGCCTTGGGCAAGCCGTAGTTCTGACAAGAGCTGTTCTTGAAAAAAGAGCAGTTTCTGTCGGAGCTCTCTCAGCCCCGCCTACCTCACAGGGTGTCTGTTTTGGGGAGGGGAAGGGAAAGGAGTTTGTAAGCCGCTCTGAGACACCTTTGGGTAGTGAAGGGCGGGGTATAAATCCAATCTCTTCTTCTCTTCTTCTTCTTTATGCTGGTGGTTAGTTGCCCTGAGTCTTGGAAGAGGACAGTAGTAGCTGCTCTCGGGGGAACGTTCTGTCTCCCATGCTTGTTAGCAGCGCTTATCTTCAAGGCCTGTGTTGTTCCTTCCCCCCACTGGAAGCCAGGTGTAAGCCAGGTTTAAGACGCTCATATGAGTGTTTGTGATTGCTTAATTGATCATTCTTTGTCTCCCAGCCAGCATTTAGGGTATAAGATGCCTAGTTTTTGTTATGCACTTGGTCTTGAGGTTTGGCTAAGCTTTGTCGTGCGTGCAGTGGTGCCCTTGAGGCCAGCTGATTGGAGCTTTAGCCTACATCTTCTTTGATAACTTTGATGGGTTATTAAGAGATCTTCTTGTAAGTAAGCCTGCAGGCTCAGAAAGGAGGGGGACCGTTGGACTAACAAGATCCAAGACTCTTTGCTAGGACTGATAAGGAAACATTCACACCTTCGGCCTCTGAATATGGAGGTTAGTAGCCTTTGATGGAATGGATGGAAGGGAGGGGCAGTGGTTCAGTGGTAGATTATCTGTTTGGCATGCAGAAGGTCCCAGGTTCAATCCCTGCAATCTCCAGTTAAAAGGATCAGGTAGGAAGTGGTATGAAAGACCTCAGCCTGAGACCTTGGAGAGCCACTGCCAGTCTGAGTAGACAATACTGACTGTGATGGACCAAGGGTCTGATTCGGTATAAGTCAGTTTCATATGTTCAAATATTCAACTTCAAAGCAACAGAGGGAGCAGAATTATCCAGCCTCAGAAACACCAATAGATTCCCTGTGCGTTTGATGTATGTAGTTTGCACTTTTGAACCTGTGCCTGACATTTCCCCAAAAAACACTTTCCTGGGGATATCTTCTTTGAGGGGCCATAACTCGGACCCCCCAAGTCCAATCTGCACATAACCTGGAGGGCATGTAGACAAACATCCAGGGGAGGTACCCGGCAACTTTGATGTCTCTAGCTTGCACAGGATCTGTTCTATACACTTCTGAAACAGCACCTGTCATTTCCAATGCTCCCTCTAAGCTGTGGAGACTCGTGAGCAAAAATCCTACTTTGTGAGCTCCTGGCATTAAATCTGTGAGTCAGCCATTTGGCTGCGGAGTCAATTAGTTTGCTCTGAAGCCCTCCTTCCTGAGCTGAGACAAGAATGGGTGAGCCGGAGGCTAAAAAACTGAGCTAGCTCACACTAACTCAGCTTAGAGGGAACACTGGTCATTTCCCCAGAAAGCACATTCCTGGGGGCACCTTATTTTGGATGCCTGTAAATCCAATCACCTGTAAATCCAATCATCACCAAATTTAGAGGGCAGGTAGAGGAGAGTCAGCCTGAGATCTCCTGTGAGTTTGGTGTCTCTGGCACGCTGGGGAGGGGCATTCTACCATGTCACGAAACTCACAAACCGAACTACTTAATTTAGCTCCTAAATGTTCATGAGGTTTCATGAATTGGGAATGCCACACACCGAACCACATTTTCCCGGTTTGTGCCCATCCCTAAATTATATGATCTCCCCAGTCCGAAATATGATGCTGAGATGATTTTTCTTTTTTCTTTTTAAAAATTACCATGTGGTTTTTTGTTGGCTTCCTGTGCTTCATCCTGAAACTAGTACAAAAAGATCTCCTGAAAGTATTGTGGGTGGCCCTGAGATGTCAGCGATAAAACCTTATGGAGTTTTACTCCAACTTTAGCACACTGAAATCAATAGGCTAAGACTTCAGTAAATCTGCATGGGATTGCACTGTACAGGGACTCTTCCAGGGTTTTACATAGCTTGGGAACATACAGATTAGATAGCTGTAATACACTAGAACATAAGAACATAAGAGATGCCAATGTTGGATCAGGCCAAAGGCCCATCCAGTCCAACACTCTGTATCACACAGTGGCCAGAAATACCAGTGCCATCAGGAGGTCCACCAGTGGGGCCAGGACATTAGAAGCCCTCCCACTGTTGACCCCCCCAAGCATCAAGATGACAGAGCATCACTTGCCCCAGAGCCCCTATCTATACCTTGTGGCTAATAGCCACTGATGGACCTCTGCTCCATATGCTTATCTAATTCCCTTTTGAAGCCGTCCATGCTTGTAGCCGCCACCACTTCCTGTGGCAGTGAATTCCAAGTGTTAATCACTCTTTGGGTGAAGAAGGACTTCCTTTTATCCGTTCTAACCCGACCGCTCAGCAATTTCATGGAGTGCCCACGAGTTCTTGTATTGTGAGAAAGGGAGAAAAGTACCTCTTTCTCTACCTGCTCTTTCCCATGCATAATCTTATAAACCTCAATCATGTCACCCCTCAGTCGTCTTTTCTCCAAGCTAAAGAGCCCTAAGCCCCTTAACCTTTCCTCATAGGGAAAGTGTTCCAACCCTTTTATTATTCGAGTTGCTCTTTTCTGCACTTTTTCCAAAGCTATAATATCCTTTTTAAGGTGTGGTGACCAGAATTGCACACAGTATTCCAAATGAGGTCGCACCATTGATTTATATAGGGGCATTATGATATTGGCTGATCTGTTTTCAATACCCTTCCTAATAATCCCCAGCATAGCATTGGCCTTCTTTATTGCAGTCACACACTGTCTCGACATTTTCAGTGAGTTATCTACTACAACTCCAAGATCTCTCTCTTGATCAGTCTCTGCCAGTTCAGACCCCATCAACGTGTATTTATATTTAGGGTTTTTGGCTCCAATGTGCAGCACCTTGCACTTGGCCACACTGAACCCCATTTGCCATGTTGATGCCCACTCGCCCATCTTTGACAGATCCCTTTGGAGTGCCTCACAATCCTCACTGGTTTTCACCACCCTGAACAACTTCGTATCATCCGCAAATTTAGCCACTTTACTGCTTACTCCCAACTCCAAATCATTAATGAACAAGTTAAAAAGCAGTGGACCAAGTACTGATCCCTGCGGTACCCCACTGCTTACCCCCCTCCACTGAGAACTGCCCATTTATAATCACTCTCTGTTTTCTATTAATTAGCCAGTTTTTTAATTAGCCAGTTTTTGATCCAAATTAGCCAGTTTTTGATCCAAAAATGGACCTGCATTTGAAGACTGTCCAGAAACTTCAAGTGGTCAAGGGCTTGTTGTGGGGACCATAGAGCCTTGGCCCAATTGCATTGGGCACCAGTGTTTTATCAGGCCCAAATCAAAGTGCTGGTTCTGTGGTTTAGGACTTGGGTACCTTGAAAGGCCTTCCTCCCCTATATCAATTTGCTCATGGTTTGAAATCACTTTCTTATGCCACAGCCCTCATGCCTGCAGTGTCTAAATGAGTCTCCAAGCTGTTCTTTGCTGCCCACAGACTACAGAATTTTCTGCATCAGGACCTGTACAGGTATTTGCTCCCCCCCCAAGCCAGTCCAGGAATGGGAGGGAAACCTGTACTTTTTCAGTACATTAAACAACAAACCACGAGACAGTCTGTACCATCTCTGGATTTCAGAACAATATGCCACCAGAACCTCTTTTCACTAGTCCCTTTCCTAAGGGAGAGATTCCAAACCCTTAGTTGGCATCTGGGATTTAACACACTAGCAACTCAATCTAGAGATGCACACTTTTTACTAAGGTAGCATATGGGGTGAGCGTTTAGGCCACAGGATTTAGCCTTGGAATTCAGGTACAACATCAAAGACAATTTTAACAATCAGAGGAATCTTTATTTAGTACAGAGCTTAGCATAGACTACCAGAGGTTACAAAAATAACAAAGGCTAGGGCTGTTTGCCTTAACTAAACATAATGATTCATAGTTACCAAGTCAGAACATCCACAGTCCCGGATAGTCCAAGTACCAAAGGATTTTGAGTAGAAATCCCATCCTTGCACCCAGGGGTCATTTCTTAGAAAAAGAGCTAGGGGAACTCATTAGCATAACTCATTAGCATATGCCACACCCCCTGACATCACCGGAAGTGTGTCATAAGGCCACACACCCCGCCCCCAACAGTACCGGCCACCGCCGCCAGCCTTGCAGCTCCACTGCCGAGCCCCATGAGGGGCCCGGCGGTAGACCTGCAAGGCTGGCAGGAGTGCAAGGAAGCCCCGCGAATGCCCTCCCTGGCCCCAGGCAGGCAGGGGTGGGGAGAGGCAGGGAGGAAGCAACTTACCCTCCCTCTTCTCCTGCCTCCTCCTGGCTGAATGAGGGCCGGAAGTGGGGCGGCCGGAAGCAGGGGGCGGGGCTTTGTCATGTGTCCCGCCCCCGTACCTCACCCAGGGGAACTGCGATCCCCCGCGATCCCCCCCGAAATGACCTCTGCTTGCACCCATGTGCTTCAGTTCACAAAGCAACTCTTTGTCTTCCAAGAGACAACATTTTCAGGTGTCATAAAACAAACAAGGACAGGAGGAGGAAGGGAGAGCTAAGCAAGAGCAGAGCTAAGCAACTCACTCCCATAGGGATCAGAACAATTATACTCCCAATTCCAGTCACAAATTAGATGTGGTCATCAGCCAATTGCGAGTGGGCATGGGTGTGCCCAATTGTTGATTGTCATAGCTGCAACATAGGATTGGCTAGAAGTTTGGAGCCCCTCCTGCAGTCATCTGACCCCAAACTCCAGCTACTTCATGGACTACATGACTAGTCGCATGTGGGCCAGAAAGTGTAGCCATGAGGTCTGGCGTTTGGCATGAAAGTGTGAAAGAATGTGGGTTTATGGCATGGCTATTGAGGCCATGTGGCCCCCACCATTTGGCTTGCAACAGGAAACAAGACACAGCATGGTATCAAAAGCCATCACTGGAGAAGGCATGGGGATACAGAAAGCAGAAAGCAATTTCTCGATACAGGACCTCTCACTCCTGGCCTTACAGTCTTTTTACATAGGTTTTTGTCTTGTTCTGATTTCTTCTGACTTCGTTAATAAAGCTGATTCACTGTTCACTAGCTGTGTTGAGTCTCGTACTTAACAGTTGCCAATGAGGATGGGATACTAGACCGGGTAGGCAGCCCCGCTGAACCGACGCCAGAACGGCGGACGACTGAGAAGCCCCTGAAGGACCCAGGGCAGAAGAACAAGACCCGGCTGATCAAGCGGCTGCAGCACTAGTACCAGTGCCTGCACCCCGAACAGTGATGGCCGTCAACCCGTGGTTTGAAGCGTTTGAACCAGACCTCGAGGACTGGGACTCCTACCTGGCCAGGTTTGAGTTCCACCTCCAGGCGAACAAGGTTGATGATGAAGACCAACAGAAGGCGACGCTCCTCAGTTCCTGTGGAACAGCTGTATTCGATGTCGCTTGGTCCCTGGTGGCGCCCGCTGAAATCAAGGATGTGTCCCTGGCTGACCTGAAGCTGAAGGGACATTTCGCGCCGCAACCATCGCAGATCGCTAGTCGGCATGCATTCTATAAATGGTCTCAGGCAGCCAACGAAACGATTGCTGAATACGTCTTGGCATTAAGGAAGGCTGCACGCCCGTGCAACTTCTCCGACCTGGAGGAAGCGCTCCTTGACCGGCTCATCTGTGGCATGAAAGACGAGAAGCTGCAGCAGCGGCTGTTCGCCAGGCAAGCCCTCACCTACGCTGTGGCCTACTCAGAAGCGGTAGCCACTGAGGCCGCGGAGAAGGCAACACAAGAAGTACGTCAGAATCTGAGCTCAATGAGGACAGACGTGTGAAGAGAAGCTCCTCACACTTCTACTTTACAACTTCATCTCACTGGCAAAATTTTCTGCCAAAACACTCTTTTTTGTTTTTAGAGTGTTTGCAAGAGGCTTTAACCTAGCCAGAGAGAGTGGCAGCTCTCTCTGGTGAAGTTTCTTTTCTGGTTTGTAGACAGTCTCAAAGCAGGAATGAAGATGAAGTCAGCAAAGGATTTTTCCTACTTTGCTGTTCGTAAAATGAGCCCAGGAGGTCGAATGGAAGGAGGAAAATAAACATGAAAGAAAACCAGCATAATCAGCACAACTGATGCTAAGTTTATTTTCTTTATAGCTCGGGGGGAGGTAGTAGGGCAATAAATCAATTAAGCAACAGAAAGCGGCAGTGGGAGATAAGAAACAGTCTTGAGCTAACTCTGATTTAAAATGCGGCTACTTACATAGAAGCTCTTATAGTAGGAAAGAAAGTCATTAGGAGGGGGGAAAAAGAAGTAGAAAGAAATGTAAAACATTGCTTATCTAAATGATTCTCGTCTGTCGCTTTAAGGAAACTGAAGATAGCTGAATCCAATTAAGCTACGAAGGTGACGCTGCAGAACGCTGGAGCGGAGGAAGAGCAGAGCCGAGGGGAGTACGGCCAAAACACAAGAAGTACAGAAGAGTCATGAAAGGAAAAAATTTTATAAAAAACAATTAAAATATAAAACAGAGTCTCAAATCCAAACAAGAACACAACTTAAAAATATAGTCACTTCAAAAAAAGATTAAAAAAATGGCAAAAAAAAAAATCTCATTAGTATCCATTAATGTTAATGGCTTAAATTACCCACAAAAAAGACGTAGAATTCTACATCAAGCAACTAAATTTAAAAATGATATTACCTGCCTTCAAGAAACACATATAAAAGAAGAACATGAAAAATATTTAAAATGTAAAAAACTAGGTATTCCATTTATCGCTTCAGATAAGATTAAAAAAGAGGAGTAGTAACATATGTTAATGAAAAGCTTTATCCAGTAATTACATTTAAATCGTTAGATGGAAGAATTTGGGGGTTTAAGTTAGAAATAATGGAACAGAAATCCTAATTGTAAATCTATATGCCCCAAATCAAAATCAAGAGAAATTCTTTTCAGACTTAAAAATTTTTATTTTGAGGGAAGATTCAGAAAATGTATGTCTGGTAGGAGATTTCAACGCGGTTTTGGATGCTAAGGAAGATAGAAGGAAAATTTAATAAACAATCAAAGCAGGAACAATATTATCTAAAAATTTCTTAAACCTAGCAGAAGAATTTAGTCTTATAGATTTATGGAGAACAAGAAATCCACACACAAAAAAGATTATACATATTTTTCGCATAGACATAAATCATGGTCCAGAATTGACATAATATGGATAAATACAAATATGGTAAAAAATGTTTTAGAAGTTGAAATTTTTCCAAACACCTTTGCGGACCATAATCACGTATGGTTCTCTTTACAAGGAACATATAAAACCGCAAGGTGGAGAATGAATTCAGGGTTATTGAGGGACCAAAATTTTGTTTAAAAAAATTAAACAAGAAATAAAAGAATTTATTAAAATAAACAAAAATGAGGATGTAACACTGAACACCATTTGGGACACATTAAAAGCCTATATAAGGGGATTATTCATAAACCAAGAAGCTTGGAGAGAGAGAAAAGGGATAATTTAAAAAAATTAACAAAAGAACTTAAAAGAGTAGAAGATATTAAAGAAGATTCAAATGAAATAAGAACAAAGATTAAACTAACCCAATACCGAATTAATTTATGGATGACACAAGAAATTGCGAAATAGAATACACTAAAGCCTATTATTTTGAAAATGCGAATAAACCCTCACGATGGTTGGCTTATAAACTTAGAAAAGAAAGGGAAAAAAGAATCATTCCATCGTTAAAAAATGAGAATCAAGAAATAAAATATAAAACACAAGAATTAAAAAATAGTAGAGTTTCTATAGGAATTTATATAAACAAGCACCACAAAATAAACAAGATCTTAAAGATTTTTTATTTAAACACAACAAAGGTAAATTTACAGATGAACAGAGAAAAAATCTGAATGAAAAAGTTACAATGTGCGAACTAGTGGAGGCAATTAGAAAGCAAAAAAATAAAGAAATCACCAGGTCCAGACGTAATAACAGCTGAAGTTTATAAAACTATAGAAGATGAAATATCATTTATGTTTAAAGATTTGATCAATAATATCATGATAACAGGAAAGGCACCGAATTCATGGAACGAAGCCCTAATAACCTTAATACGGAAACCAGATTCAGATGGAGATGAAATTAAAAACTATAGACCCATTTCTCTTTTGAACGAAGATTATAAGATCTTTGCAACTATTTTAGCCAACAGGTTTAAAAGGATTATGGCAGAAATTATTCATAGGGACCAATCAGGCTTTCTCCCAAAAAGACAAATAAAAAACAATATAAGAACTATAGTCAAAATCTTAGAATACTATGAACAGAACCCAGGGAAACAGCACTAATTTTCTTAGACGCGGAGAAAGCCTTCGATAATGTAAATTGGGATTACTTAATACAAAAATTAGAGATATGGGATTGTGGCGAAAAAAATCTAAAATCAATTTTAGCCATATATAAAGAGCAATATGCAAAGATAGTTATAAAAGGAGAATTAACTCAAAATATAGCTATACAAAAAGGAACTAGACAGGGATGTCCATTAAATAAATAAATGAATGAATGAATGAATTAGTGAGAGAAAATAAGAGAATAATTGGTACAAAAATAAAACGGGAACACTATAAAGCGCAGGCATTTGCTGATGATTTGGTGTTTATTCTAGAAGAAGAAGAAGAAGAGATTGGATTTATATCCCGCCCTTCACTACCCAAAGGTGTTTCAGAGTGGCTTACAAACTCCTTTCCCTTCCCTTCCCCTCCCCACAACAGACACCCTGTGAGGTAGGTGGGGCTGAGAGAACTCTGACAGAGACTGCTCTTTTTCAAGAACAGCTGTGCCAGAATTATGGCTTGCCCAAGGTCATCCAGCCAGGTGCAAGTGGAGGAGCGGGGGAATCAAACCCGGTTCTCCCAGATTAAGAGTCCGCGCACTTAACCACTACATCAAACTGAAGATCCGATAACATCCATGCCATACCTGCTGAAGGAAATACAAAACTATAGTCAAGTGGAAGGTCTAAAGATTAATTTGAATAAAACTAAGATCTTGACAAAAAATTGTTCTAAAGAAGAGATAATTAAAATACAAACAATTTCAAACATTCAGGTGGTAAATAAAACTAAATATTTGGGTATATTAGTGACAAATAACAATAAAAATCTATATAAAATTACCTAGCTTTATTAGAAGAAATTAAAAAACACCTAAAAAAATGGCACGATTTACATATTTCTTTTATGGGAAGAATTGCTACCATAAAAATGAATATTCTCCCACGATTTCTCTTCATAGCACAATGTATACCCATACTAAAAAATACTAAATTCCTTGAAGACATAGATCACTGCACTAGAAAATTTATTTGGCATGCAAAAAACCCACGAATCAATAGAAAACTTCTTATAGATAAGAAAGAAAGAGGTGGACTAGCGATACCTGACTGTGGGTTATACTACCAAGCTGCAGCGATGAGCTGGATAAGAGACTGGATAACTCTGGAAGATGAAAGACTCCTACAGTTAGAAGGGCATGACCTACCCATGGGTTGGCATGCACACATATGATATAACTTAGATAAACCACAACAAAACTTCCAAAATCACATAATAAGAGGCCCTTTAATAAAAATTTGGGGGGGAAATTAAAAACAGATTTTACAATAAAATTCTGAAATGAATTTCCCAACTAGAGGCTTTTATAATGCCGGCATTATTAGATAATAGTAAAAAAGTGACATATGAAATACTATTAACAGAAAAAAATGAACTGAAACCATTTGAAATACTTGAAACAAAAACAAATCTCACTAATTGGGAAAAAATTCAACTAAAATCCAGATTTACTAAAGATAAAACATTATATTTTATGAATTCCAAAACCCAATTAGATAAATTATGGCTTTCATCATCAGACAAGCTCATAGAAAGATTATACAACTATTTTCTGATAGAAGAAATACAAGAAGAAACAGTAAAACCAAATATGATTAAATGAATGCAAGATATAGGGTATAATATATCTTTAGGTGAATGGTCCAAAACCTGGAAATCTATGAAACTATTAAGAGCTGTGTCTTATAAAGAAAATATCTGCAAGATGTTCTATAGATGGCATTGCTCCAGACAAACTCGCCAAGTATTATAAAAATAGCTCCGAGATATGTTGGAGATGTAAAAACAATGTTGGAATCATGTTTGGTGGAACTGTGAAAAAATTGCTAAATTCTGGAAGATTACCAAAAAAGTAATAGAAGAAATTACAAAGGTTTAATTGCAGCTGAAACCAGAAATCTTTTTACTCAATATTACACCGGATGGCATTAAACGAGATGATTTAATAATCATACTGTATATACTTACCATGTCGAGCATATTAATTGCAAAACAATGGAAAAAGGATACGATACTCATAAAGAAGAGCTAAGAGATAAAATTATTGAAATAGCTGAATTAGATAAACTGAATACGATTCTTTCAGGGAAAGATGAAACAATTTTTCAAAATAGATGGCAGAAAGTTTATAACTGGGTGGAAAAAAACTGTTAGACAGTCTTCCATTTGTACTTCCAACAAATGTATATGTATTACTCTGCTTGCTATTTTATGTAATAGAAAACGTACAAATAAACTTATATTAAAAAAAAGAAGTGCGTCAGAATCTGACCCCAAGCCAACAGGGGCCATCAAGTCACTGCACCACGAATCAACTAACGAGTCCGAAGGTGAGCATGATGACGTCAACCACTCTCGAGCTCTGAGGGCCAAGCGGACCCCAGTGAAAACCACACCAAGGCAGACCTGTGCTGGATGCGGCGGACACCATGAGCGGGATTGCTGCTGGGCGAACGACATCGTTTGCCGATCCTGTGACAAGCGGGGCCATTTGGCCAAGGTCTGCAGGTCAAGAAAGAAGAGGACACCACCATCATCTCCCCGTGCACGTCCCCAGGTTCGTGGCCAGGACAACGCAAGGTCTACAGATTGCCATCTGACCAACTGCTGTTCCTGCCCATCGACCATCCTAAAGACCGGATCACGCTCTAGGAAGAAGATCCACGTCACCGTCCTACTGAATGGCGTACCATGTGAGATGGAGGTCGACTCAGGATCTGCCGTAACAGTCATCTCATCAGAAACATTGCAGCATTTGTTCTTGCGTTGGAGTCGTCAGCGTTTGAAGCCGAGCAGCATTCACCTCTCCGATTTTCAGGGGAGACGCATTCCTGTGGCTGGGAAAGCCACGTTTGAGGTACAGTTTAAGGGGTTCCAAGAGTCACTGAGAGTCCTTGTTGCCGAGGGGCACCGAGCCAGACTTTTGGGGTTGGACTGGTTCGAGGCCCTTGGAATTGCTATTAGCGGAATTAACCAGGTCAACGCAAATAAATTTAATGCACTGTATACTGAATTTACTGATGTATTTGGTGGTACTTTGGGAATGTATAGAGGGCCACCTTTGAGTTGGATCCTTCCGTAGCGCCTATATGGCTAAAATATCACAAGTTGCCCCTTTCCATGAAACCATGTATTGAGGCCGAGTTAGACAAACTTGTGGCTCAAGGTGTGTTAGAACCGGTATCACATTCGAGATGGGAGACCCCTATTGTGACACCTACTAAGCCTGATGAGTCAGTGAGAATCTGTGCTGATTATAAGTGCACGATAAACAAGGCACTACAGCAACACTCATACCCCGTTCCAGTTATTAGCCATGTGCTAGCGTCCTTGGGAGAAGGTAAGGTCTTTGCCAAGTTAGATCTGGCTCAGACTTACAAACAACTTCCTGTAGCCCCCCAAGCCACTATAGAAGAAGAAGAAGAAGAGAAGAGATTGGATTTATACCCCACCCTTCACTTGGAGTCTCAGAGCGGCTTACAAACTCCTTTCCCTTCCCCTCCCGACAACAGACACCCTGTGAGGTAGGTGGGGCTGAGAGAGCTCTGATACAAACTGCTCTTTCAGGAACAGCTGTGCCAGAGCTTGTGACTGACCCAAGGTCACATCAGCAGGTGCAAGTGGAGGAGTGGGGAATCAAACCCGATTCTCCCAGATTAGAGTCCGCACACTTAACCACTACACCAAACTGGCTCTTGCACAAACAATCGTCACGCACAGGGGTGCGTTTAAAGTGAACAGATTGCAATTTGGGGTAAACATTGCCCTGGGTATTTTCCAAGACCTGATGGAGGGATTATTGAGGGACCTGCCTGGGGTAGTCCCATATTTGTGTTAATCGCTGGAAAAAAACGAAGACAAACTGTCGGAACGCGTCAGGGCTGTGTTGGGCCATTTCCAAGCGGCAGGGTTAAAAGTAAAGAAATCGAAGTGCCACTTGGGAGTGCCCAAGGTGGATTTTTTTGGGTTCCTAATCGATGCACACGGTGTACACCCTACAACGGGTAAGGTGCAGGCTATCCAAAATGCCCCAAGACCGGAGTCCAAGAAGGAACTGCAGTCGTTCTTGGGCATTTTGTATTTTTACCACGCATTCCTTCATTCCTGCCACATAAGGCGTCTATTGCAGAAACCTTACATAAGCTGCTTATCAAGGGGGCTAAGTGGGAGTGGGGCCCACAGCACAACCGTGCTTTCAAAGCCATAAAGACTCTGTTATCGTCTGACGCTGTATTGACGCACTATGATGAGGCTAAGCAGCTGGTGTTGGCCGCGGACGCTTCTCCTTACGGAGTGGGGGCTGTGTTGAGCCATGTGATGGCTGACGGCAGAGAAGCACCCATTGCGTATTACTCTCGGACGCTCACTACGGCCAAGAGGAATTATGTGCAAATAGACAAAGAGGGCTTGGCGCTTGTGGCCGGTGTGAAGAAATTTCACGATTTTCTATATGGCAGACCTTTTGTGATGGTCACTGACCATAAACCCCTTCTGGGAATTTTCGCACTGGACCGCCAGACGCCCAACATTTTGTCGGCAAGGATGTTGCGCTGGACAGTGTTCTTGTCAGCATATGACTATGTACTAGAACATTGGCCTGGCAAGAACATGAGGTAATGGCCCTCGAGGAACTGGCCAAACCTCCGGTGCACGCTGGACAATGTTCTTGTCAGCATATGACTATGTACTAGAACATTGGCCTGGCAAGAACATGAGGTAATGGCCCTCGAGGAACTGGCCAAACCTCCGGTGCACGCTGGACAATGTTCTTGTCAGCATATGACTATGTACTAGAACATTGGCCTGGCAAGAACATGAGGTAATGGCCCTCGAGGAACTGGCCAAACCTCTGGTGCACGCATCGGACATAGCAACCGCTTTGGCCAAGGACTCCACAATCGCCAGGGTGCTCAACTGGGTGTGGAGAGGGTGGCCGGTGGGGCGCGTCGCTGAGGAATTGAAGCCATTTGCATCACGGCAATGCAAACTCTCTGTCCACAGAGGATGTTTATTGTGGGGAAACAGGGTGGTGGTTCCCCCCAAACTGAGAAACCAGGTTCTTGAGGCACTGCACGAATGCCACCCCGGCATTGTGAGAATGAAGGGGCTGGCCCGAGGTTATTTTTGGTGGCCAAAAATTGACTCTGACATCGAGAGTTGGGTACAGAGATGTCACGAGTGCCAGCTGTCCCGGCCTGATCCCCCACAGGCCCCGGTACAACAATGGGAGAAAAGTCACCAGCCCTGGTTGCGAGTCCACATCAACTTTGCGGGACCATTTCAGGGCCAAATATTCCTAATAATTGTCGATGCGTACTCAAAATGGTTGGAGGTGGTCCCGACCTCCAAAATGATGGCACTAACTGTAATTAATGCACTACGCCACATTTTCGCAACACATGGCTTTCTAGACACTCTCATGTCCGACAACGGGACTTGTTTTACCGCCTCTGAGTTCCAGGATTTTTTGGCGGCAAACTTCATCTAGCACAGCACGTCCACACCATTCCATTCGGCTACTAACGGTCAGGCCGAAAGAATGGTGCGGACCACTAAGGAGACTCTGAGCCGCCTGGTGCAGGGCAACTGGAGCCAAAAGGTGGCGTCGTTCCTCCTGCACCAGCACGTCACACCACATTCAGTGACGGGGCAGAGCCCGGTGGAGATGTTAATGGGTCGTCGCTTAACAACTCTCCTCGACCGTATGCACCCGGACCTAACCACGTCCAGACTCCCACACAGTGAGTCCACTGATCGGACTAGGGGTTTTGAGGAGGGCGAGTATGTTTATGCGAGGAACTATGCCGGAGGCCATCGTTGGTTGCCGGCAACGATAACCAAGGTACTGGGTTCACATACTTACACAGTACGGCTTACAGATGGTCGTGTCTTCAAGCAGCACATCGACCAACTGAGGAAGCGGTAGGCTGAGGCAGACCCTGAGCCCAATACTGAGGTGGCAGATGTATCCATTCCAGACGAACGGGTAGAGCATCCGGACCAAGCACAGACAACTCCCAAGAGGGAGAACCACCCAGTATCACTTACCCGCCTGAAGACAGTTTTCAGGCAAACTGGCCCCAAGGTATACGGGAAAGCCCTACCAACAGGGAAACACCAAGCAGTCCCCCAGTTGTAACATTAAGACGGTTATAACGGAGCAAGCAGCCTCCTGCTTACCTAAAAGACTACTTATGTTCTCAGGTTGTTCTCTCTCAGAGGGGAGGAATTGTTATGTATTGAAAACTATGTTATGCTTGAGTTCTAAACAGGATTGTAAATAAACCAATCAGAGCTGAGAAATGTTCTGGAGGGAAGCACTCTGATTGGACCTTATCTGTAAATAGTTATTGGTTGTTAGCTGACATGTGGGTGTGGCCTCCCAAGCCCTGACTTTTTAAAAGAGAGCCTGTTGCTCTATGTTTTTGTCTCCTCCTGATTTCTTCTGACTTCCCTAATAAAGCTAATTCACTGTTCACTGGCTGTGTTGAGTCTTGTACTTAACAGACCCAAAATATATTTACGGCTGTACAAAAGATTTCATTTTGGATTTAGTGGGAAATATCTGAATAAATCATTTGGTCAGGCCAGGCTCTTTTCAAAAACCAAGCGTTTTTCAAGTGGGTTTGTTTGTATCAACTTTTGAAACTGTTAGATGTGCCTACGCAGGAAGGCCGTGGTCCCATGAAGGCTAAGCACTAAGCCGCCCCAAAGCGACAGCGTGTGTACTGCTTACGCAGAACGGAAATCAAGGCGAGCGAGCGTGGCTTTGCTTAAACATTCCCCGCAGCATTTGCCCTGCAAGCGCCGGAACAAACCCTAGCCCTAGAATGTCAATCACAAACCAGCACATTAATAAGAAACTTGGGAGCCGCAACTTCCAGCCTGACCTTTGCACCGGTTTGCGTGCAGAGGCCCGGGCAGGGCTCGGTTTCTCTCCTGCAGGATTCTGCCACCCACTCGGGAGGGCTCCTCTTCCCCCTCCGCTGGCCTGAGACACTGACCACAGAGAAGAGGCCATTCCACTCCGGGGTAGGTGAGCTTCCTCCAGGCTCCCTGCACTTGCCCCCCCCCCCCCCCCCGGCTGTCCCCTGAAGCTGCGGGCCCAAAAAGGCTGCGGGGGCTGACGAGGGAACTGCACGCTCTTAATCAGCGCAGAGCCGCGGGCATCAAAGGCTGCCCCCAACCTATAGCCACAGCGAAACTTCCGCCCCGGATGCAGTCCCTTTCAGCGCGGGCGGATGGTCGGCCAAATAAGGCCGCCTCCTATCCCTAAAGGGAAGAACGAAAAACCGGCCTGGATTCTCCCGAATGGCGCGTTCCTTTGCTTGTAGTTCACGGTGTCCTCCTGGGCGAATACCCGAAAGTTCCAGGGATGTTCTAACCCCACCCCCCCCGCTAAAACCACTGGCCGGTCCGGAGCCCAGGTACTGAACACGGAAGGGGGGGGTCCTAGGAAGTTAAAAACATAAAAGTGAGGGGAGGAGTTAGCTGGCTCGGGAGGAGTCCCTCTTAGCTCAGGCCGAAGGAAGTCAATGGCCTTCTGGCCTGTCAGTTTCTTCTCTGTTGCCTACCGTTTTTGTTCCACATTTTTCTTCCCCCCCTTATCCTGATATATTCATGTAGCGGAACGACTAGGGAGAAAGGACGGTGCCACTTCAAATTGCCGCTATAGGATTGGCTTTTCAGACTGCTCTTGCATGTGTGTATCTTCATGCAACTAGAAGACTTGCAGTGTGCTAGTTTTCTGTTTGCAGGGAGGTTTCTTTTTTTAATGCAAAAGAATTTTCAAAGCTGAGCTTCACTACATGCAGTCTGATGGGTGCAGTTCACTACAACACCTTGTTCTCCTACATGTGTGAATCAGGCTATAGTCTCCATACGCTTTTCCTTTGCTTCCGTATAATTAGGTTGTAGCTTCACAAAGTTCATGGAAAGAAACTGCAGCAAGCTCGCCAACTGGGTGAGGGATCCCATGCCCTGTGTTCTGTGTCATGTGCTGTGAAGGGTGTAGGATGAGTTAATCAATGTATTAGTTCCTGTTTGTAAAATGCCATTCTCACCTATCCCAACTCTCTCTGTCTTCTGTTATTGAGTATTCCCAACAGGTTCTGCTAATATGTTTAAACATTTTGAAAGATGAAATTTATTGTGCTAGTTCAGTTTCTACAGAAGGCTTCCGAGAGTCTCAGCTTTCTTATTAAATGCAAGCAGCTTTCTAGACAACCTTGAGCCAAGAGGAAAGGTGAGATACAAACATTACAATAAATAAAATAGGCTTATCAATCCATTTCTATCCTCACCTTTCTCTAAGGAACTCCAGGTGGCATACAGATTCTTCCATGATCTATCCTTACAATAACCCTGTGAGGTAGGCTCAGTCAGGACCCTTGGCCCATGATCACCCAGTGAGCCTTTTGTAGCAGAGTGGAGATCTGAACCCAGATTTCCCAGAGCCTAAATAACCTCTATGCCACACTAGGTGTCATGCAAGTTTGAAAAAGTCAATCCTGTTATTAGCTGGCAAACTTGACAGTGATCATGTGCAGATCCGTCCAACTCCCACCCCACCCCCACATCTCTAGCCTATACCACGTTATCTTCTCTCCTTCATCTCAGTCAGTATTGATAGTAATATTAGAGGCTTTGTGGGGTACCTGATTACGGATTAATCAGATGCCAAACATCTATTTATACATTTACGTCATTTATACCCCGCCGTTTCCCCCAATGGGGAGCTAAAATAGCTTACATGGTTCTCTTCTCCATGTTATCCTCACAACCCTTCTGTGAGGTAGGCTAGTGTGAGAAAGAGTGAGTGGCCCATGGTCACACAGCAAGCATCCACGGGGGCTGTTCTTCATTGCTGTCTCTCTTGGGATGCCAAAGGGAAGTGGGTACGATATAGTGAGTGGGCCAAATCCAGGCCTCGGGGAGGGGAATGGGACTGCTTACTGGTATTTTTTTTCCTTTCCTTCAGGCCCTGATGCAAGATGGCGTCAAAGAAGTTCCGTGTGGCAGTGATCGGGGCAGGAGCGGCAGGACTGTGTGCGGCCCGCCACATCCTCACCTACTCCGACACTTTCCTTCCTCCGGTGGTGTTCGAGGCCTCTGACCGGCTGGGGGGCACCTGGGTGTATACTGAGCGGACTGGGGAAGACGCTGAGGGATGGCCCATCCATTCCAGCATGTACCGCAGTCTCAGGTAGCCACTCAGGCACTGTCTCTGAGATGACGTGTGCGTTGCCCATGCAGCCCTGCAGGTTTCGTGTTCCGGAGGTGGGAGATGGAATGGGACAGGGGAGCAGAGGCAGGCTGGTACTAACTGGGGGGTTGGGATGCCTCCTCTCAGGACCAACCTTCCCAAAGAAGTCATGGCCTTCCCGGATTTCCCCTTTGACCCATCGCTGCCATCCTTCCTGCATCACTCAGATGTGCTGGCCTACCTGGAAAGCTACGCAGAGCAATCTGGCATCCAGGACCATGTTCGGGTAAAGACTGAGGGCGGCCCAGTGGGGGCCTCGGGAGGTGTAGCTCTGTGAGGACTGGGGTGACCCGCCACTGAAGGTGTGTCTGGGTTTTATTGTGGACTTAGCTGTGAAACTTGTGCTAGGGCTCAGCTGTATGAAGTTACACTAAAAGAATCATAGAAACATTGCGTTGGAAGGGACCTCCAGGGCCATCTAGTCCAACCCCTTGCACATTGCAGGACATTCACAACTACCTCCCCCCCACACCCTCAGTGACCCCTGCTCCGTGCCCAGAAGATGGGGGGGGGGGAATCCCTGACCAAACTGGCCTGGAGAAAATTGCTTCCTGACCCCAAAGTGGCCATCAGCATTTCCCTGGGAGTGTAAGAAAGGGCCACGAGATATAGCCCTTCTTGCCCTCCCTTCTTGTGATCTGCCCAAGTTCACAGAATCTGCAGTGCTGTCAGGTGGCCATCCGGCCTCTGTTTGAAATCCTCCAAAGAAGGAGAGCCTACCCCCTCCCGAGGAAGCCTGTTCCACTGAGGAACCACTCTAACTGTCAGGAAGTTCCTCCTAATGTTTAGCCGAAAAACTCTTTTGATTTAATTTCAACCCATCGGTTCTGGTCTGACCTTCTGGGGCAACAGAAAACAACTCCACACCATCCTCTATATGATAGCCTTTCAAGAGTGCTTCTGAGTATGCACAGAGTGCATTTGTTTCACCTCAGAATAACAACCACCATTCACTAACAATAGAGACATGCTTCAGTCCCACCACCTTTTGTTTAAGAGCTGGTTTTGGCATATTCTGAGCTGCCGTCTCCCCAGCTCTGCTGGCCTTGAGGCAGTGGCTTGTCAGGACCCACACTTCCTTATTTCAGGTATCAGTTGCTTTCTCCTCTGCTGGGTTAGAGATGGTTTCCTTACGACCTTGATGACTCCTGGGCCTGACCTCTTTTCCTCTCTGCTCAAGTTCCGGTGGCAGGTGGATGGCGTGAGGCCTGTGCTGGGGGAACAGGGCACCGCAGGTGGCTGGGACATCAAAGCAACAGTGCGGGGGTCAGGATCAACACAGCATTTCTCAGAACACTTTGATGCCATCATGGTCTGTAGTGGGTGAGTACTGGCTGGTTGGGGATGAAGTAGGTAATCGGCTGATTCTGCCTGAGCAGAGGGCAGAATTGGATAGTGGACTGTTCTTTGCCAGTGCTAGGATGCCAGGTTTTAAGAGGCACAACTTGAGCCTAGGAAGCTTGAACAGATTGGGGTCAGGGTAAAGGAGCACCCCCCCCCCCAGCCTTGCTCAGGGCTTGCAAACTGAGGGTTGTCGCTTCCTTCATTGAGTCAATCTGCCTCATCTTGGCTCTTCCTCTTTTCCTGCTGCCTTAACCTTTTCCTAGCATTATTGTCGTTTCCAGTGACTCTTGTCTTCTCATACTGTGACCAAAGTATGATAGCCTCCATTTAGTTATTTAAGCTTCTAGGGAGAGGTCAGGCTTGATTTGGTCTAGAACCCTTTTATTTGTCTTTTTGGCAGTCCACAGTATCCGTAAAACTCCCCTCCAACACCACATTTCAAATGAATCCACTTTCTTCCTGTCAAGTTTTCTTTGTTGTCCAACCTTCACACCTGTAACTCATTATGGGGACTACTGTAGTATGAATTATCTTGATCTTGGTTGCCATTTAATAATAATAATAATAATAATAATAATAATAATAATAATAACAACAACAACAACTACTGGCCCTTATGCTGGGCACACATATGCACACAAGCCCTCCAACTTATGTCCCCAACAATCTTGTTTCTGCAGCCATTACGCCATCCCATTCATACCACCCATTCCTGGCCTGGACAGCTTCCAAGGTAAGGCCTGAATCCCGCTCATTCCCACCTGGATAGAAGAGAGTTTTTCTTCCTGTGACCAAGCCTGTCATGAGAGCCACTGATCACTTTGGCTGCATCAACATGGTGAACATTCCCCATTGAGCAGTCATTGCCCCTGAGAACGCAGAGGCATTTGCACTGGCAAGAAAGCACTCGCATGGGGGTATTGCCCGTACTTTCTTTAGTTATCGCCCCTGTGCCAATGGAAGGCTTTTTGCCAGCTTTCCTTTTTTATCTTTGTAGTTGTTGTATTGCTATAACAGTGCGGCAAGACCTGATTTAAAAAACAAAGAAACCTCCAGGAGCACAGGGGGAATATGGTGGATACAAGAGAGATGAGGACAATAAAATGGTGCCAGTCTGGGAGGATGGTTTGAAAATGAGCACCTTTCCATTCAGATGGCATGCTAATCTGCTTTGATTGAGTTCTTTTCAAGAAACTTCATAGCAAAGCAGGTTTGGGAAAGATCAGAGGAAAGCAGGGAGAAACCCAAAAAGTGGACAACCGGAGGACAACATTGTGTGGACCCTCAGAGAAACACAACTCTGATTTGGAAGCCAAGGTGGAGCAAGGCAGCCATGTGGATTTAGCCTTAGTGCAGTGAGGTATAAGTCCTAGGCTAAATTTAAAATACACTGGAACCCTCCCATCCTGTACTGAGACATCTGATGTCAGCCCCATATGCTAAATAAATCCCTGACAACCTGTTGCCCCGAATTTTTTCTGGAGTACTTGGGGCATTTTTTCTGGGCTTCTTTGAGGTGTCCTGACTGTGCCACTACATCCTCAGAGATCCCTGTACTCTGAAAAGAGGGACAAATAGGGATTAACCTCATGAAAATGAGATACATGACACTTTCTGTTAAAAAAGAAGTTAAAACCTCCATCTGAGGGACCTGTGAGCTACTGTGCAAATACGAAGGTCTTGGCAATCTCAGTCCTACTGCACTATTCATTGGGTTACTTGTTTAGAATTTATTTATTATTGATTTATTTAATTCAGTTCTACCCTGCCTTTCTCCCCAATGCCCCCTGTAAGCCGCCCTGAGCCCGCTTGCGGGGAGGGCGGGGTAAAAATGCTTTAAATAAATAAATAAATACATTCAAAGTGGCTTACATCAATTCCTCTATTTTATCCTCACAACAACCCTGTGAGGTAGAGGTTAGGCTGAGAGAGGGTGACTGGCCCAAGGTCATCCAGTGAGCTTCCTTGGCACGAGTGGGGATTTGAACCTGGGACTCCCAGGTACTAGTCTCTTTTAACCATTATACCACACTGGTTTGAGGCTGTGGAGGACAGCTTCAGATACCTGTAGAGTTTGGAGGAATTGTAATTCCAGGAAGAGGCTGCATCAGAATTTATGTGTGCATTCTTATCTTCTTATTTAGGTATTTACAGGGGCCTCAGTAGCTCAGAGGTTAAGACGCTGAGCTGCAGACCGGAAGGTCTGTAGTTCGGCAGTTTGAGACCCGAGTGCCGCATGATGGAGTGAGCTCTCATCTCTGGCCCCAGCTCCTGCCAACCTAGCAGTTCGAAAGCAAGAAATTGCAAGTAGATAAATAGGTACCACTTTGGTGGGAAGGTAACAGCCTTCCATGCACCTTGGCGTTTAGTCATGCCGGCCACCTGCCCATGGGGAAGTCTTCGGACAGTGCTGGCTCTTCGGCTTGGAAATTGAGATGAGTTGGATTCGACTAGCTTTCGAGCAAGGGAAACCTTTACCGTAGCTATTTATACCCCGCTTTTCTCGCCAGTAGGTACCCAAAGTTGCTTTCTGCATTGTTCTCTGCTCCTCCAGTGTTATTCATTCCACGCTGTTGTTTTTCCCCTTCCTGCTCTCCTTGCTGGAGCTCACTGGGGAGAGCCACCGAGCAAAGTCCTCTTTGCCCTTAGCGCGGCTGGACATCAATATGGTTACTCACACTGTGCCATATGAACATTCCAAGTTGCCTTATGTTGAATTGGTCCATTTAGTTCAGTTTTATCTGCTCCTGAGACCCAGAGAGCCACTGCCAGTCTGAGTAGACAGTCCTGACCTTGACGGACCAAGGGTCTGATTCAATATAAGGCAGCTTTGTGTGTTCATGTGTACTGGCAACAACTTTCCAAGGTTTCTGGCAGAGAAAGGCCTTTCCCAACAAGGTAGGAGCTATGGCTCAGTGGTAGAGCACCGGCTTTGCATGTAGAAGGTACCAGGTTCTGTCCCCATCCCCTCCAGTTAAAAGGATCGGGTTCTAGGTAACGTATAAGACCTTGACCTCAGACTCTGGGTTTTGATTATTAACCGTGTGATTCGGTATAAGGCAGCTTCTTATGTTCATGTGCACAAACAGTTCAACTTCTGCGATTTGCGCTTCTTTAACGAAAGATGCCGGGGACTGGACCCGTGACCTTCCTCGTGCAAAGCAGGTGCTCTGTCACTGAGCTGCAGCCCCAGAAACGATAGCAGGCCCCTGCGGGAGAGCAGCAAGGAATGCTGGGCCTTGAGACCTTCGCAAAGGGTAAAGAGAGGCAGCTTAAACAGCGTGGGTCAGATCTGAGCACTGCACCTGCAAGAAGAGGGCAAGAATGCCCAGCTCTCCCCTTGAACTTCTGCCAACTCCACCTCTTTCCCCCTTTCCAGGCTGCCTCCTGCACAGCCACTCATATCGACACCCAGAGCCCTTTGCGGGCCTGACGGTGGTGCTGGTGGGTGCTGGCGCGTCTGGCGTCGACCTGGCGCTGCAGCTGTCTCCCGTGGCTGCTCGTGTGGTGCTGAGCCATCAGGGGCCACCCGTGTGCGGGCTGCCCGAAGATGTCCTGCAGGTGCCCCGGATCTTGAAGGTGGCGAAGGAGACGGTGGTGTTTGGGGACGGCTCAGCGCTGCAGCCGGATGCCTTGATTCTCTGCACTGGCTACCGGTACCGCTTTCCCTTCTTGGCCTTGGCCCAGCTGGGCTTACAGGAGACGGACTACGGGGTGGGTCCCCTGTACCGCCACTTGCTTGCCCCCCGGCACCCTTCCCTGTTCTTTATTGGCCTCTGCCAGCAAATCTGCCCCTTCCCACACTTCCACTGCCAGGTGCTCTTTGCACTGGCAGTGCTCCGCGGCCGCTGCCTCCTGCCTTCTGCAGCTGAAATGGAGGCTGACGCCCAGGGGCAGCTGGACCGATACCTGAGGGAGGGGGGACTAGCTCAGCACTTCCTGAGGCTCAAGGCTCAGCAGTGGAGCTATGCGGAGGAGCTGGCCCAGCTGGCAGGCTTCCCACCTTTACCGCCTGCAGTCCGAGAGATCTACGAAGCGACACGTGCCAGACGGCTCCGCAACGTGGGCACCTATCGTGACCTGACGTACCGGCTGCTGGGACCCGATGCTTGGGAAGAGGTGCGGGATTCTGGCCGAGACCTGGAAGGGAACGGAAGTGCAGAGTGAAGGTCTTCCACTATGGATGCTGGGATTTTTGTACCCTCTGTAGGGGAGAGAGGACTTCTTCGCGGCTTCTCTCAATGCCTAACTCTGGCCATACAGAGAACTGGACTGAGAAGAATGAAGCTGAGAAAGAAAACAGTAATGAGTCTAGCGGCCTCTTAGAGGCTGACAAATGCACTGCGGCAGCAGGCGTTTGTGTGGGCAAAAGTGCGAAATAGACAATGCGTAAGGGAGATTTATATATATATAGCTGTGTGTGGGTGTGTGGAGATCTGTTTTACTGGGTGAGTTTAAAAGATAAACGAATAGGTCGCGATAACAGTGTTTTTGCAGATCAAAAGTAACAAGGTCCAGATTAAGTCTTGATGGCAAACCTTTTAGAGACCAAGTGCCCAAACTGCAACCCAAAACCCACTTATTTATCACAAAGTACCAACACGGCAATTTAACCTGAATACTGAGGTTTTAGTTTAGAAAAAACAACCAATTTTCACTTTATTTTCATCTAATCCAGCTTTCCTTATGACATGTTCTGCATATTGATTGAATAGGGGCGGAGAGGATGCAGGAAATTCTGGACCTGTTGTACTAAATTCTATGCCAGGTAAATTGATGGAAGGCATTGTCAAAGTTAGATGTGTAGAAGAATGAACCTTGCTGGAAAAGACTCCGAGCGGCTTCTGCAAAGGGAAGTCCCCCTCAATAATCTTCTAGAACTTTTTGCAGCGAAAGCAAAATATGAAGATGGGTGAATAATGCACAGGCATTTGGGCTGCCAGCTCCAGGCTGGAAATTGGGGGGTGGGTGGGTGGGTGGGTTTGAGGAGGGGGAGAGACCTCTGCAGGGGATAATGCCATAGAGCCCACCTTCCAAAGTGGCCATTTTCTCCAGGTGGCCTGATCTCCCTTGCCTGGGGCCACCAAGTGCCTCTCCTCCCAGACCCCTCCTTGGCTTCTCTGGCTGGGCTCCAAAACCACCCGAGCGTCTGTTGGTCGGGAAGCTGACTTCGTGGGACCACCGTCCAGGCTGCTCCTGTGGCCCCTCACTCTGCACGTGCTCGGAGAGGTGCCCAGGGCCGAGGCTATCCGCCCACTACTCCTACGCCTCTCCACACCTGCCTGCGCAGTGCTGTCCTTTGGCCACCGCCTCCTCCTCCTGCGGGGCGAGGGCAGGGAAAAGCCAAAGCAGCTCTGGCCTGTGTCGCTGAAATGTGAGGGCCTCCTCACCTGCCTGCCTGCTGCCGCCTCTCAGCTCCGGGGTGGATATTGGGGGGGGGGGGTTTGAGCCAGAGGAGGGCGGGTTTGGGAAGGGGGAGAGACCTCTGCAGGGGATAATGCTTTAGAGCCCACCTTCCAAATTGGCCATTTTCTCCAGGTGGCCTGATCTCCCTTGCCTGGGGCCACCAAGTGCCTCTCCTCCCAGACCCCTCCTTGGCTTCTCTGGCTGGGCTCCAAAACCACCCGAGCGTCTGTTGGTCGGGAAGCTGACTTCGTGGGACCACCGTCCAGGCTGCTCCTGTGGCCCCTCACTCTGCACGTGCTCGGAGAGGTGCCCAGGGCCGAGGCTATCCGCCCACTACTCCTACGCCTCTCCACACCTGCCTGCGCAGTGCTGTCCTTTGGCCACCGCCTCCTCCTCCTGCGGGGCGAGGGCAGGGAAAAGCCAAAGCAGCTCTGGCCTGTGTCGCTGAAATGTGAGGGCCTCCTCACCTGCCTGCCTGCTGCCGCCTCTCTCTCTTCAATCTATGCGCGGCAGCCCGGACGTGGCAAAGAGGTGGAGGCACCCCGGCGGGAGAGCGGGAAGGGGCAGCTTGGCACTGGATTGGGGCCCGGCTGGCTGGCAGTACAGCCATGATTTGTGGCAAGAGGAAGAAGCAGTCCCTCCCGGAGGCCCCCCCCCCCCAGCAGCAGCAGGTGTCCTGGCCGGTGGGCGCCTAGCCCAGCGCTGGGGGGCTTGGCAAACTTGGTGTACCACATATTCAAGAAGCTGGGTGAGTCGAGGAGCTGGGGCAACGGCATGCGTGCCTATGGAGAGGGCTCTGAGTGCCCCCTCTGGCACGCGTGCCATAGGTTCGCCACCACTGGACTAGATAGACCCTTGGACTAAGAGCCATTGTGGGGTAGAGTGTCGAACTAAAATCTGAGAGACTTGGGTTCAAATCCCCACTCTGCCATGAAAGCTTGCTGGGTGACCTTGGGTCAGTCACACGCTCAGCCTAACCCACCTCCCAGCATTGTGGTGAGAACCAAATGGAGAAGGGAAGTACGTTGTAAGCCATACTGAGCCCCTACTGGAAAGAAAATGGGGTCTAAATATAGTAAGCAAATTTAAAAACCAAGAGAGATTCTTGATCTGGCTGAAGGACAATAGGGTTGGCTAGATTGTTATGAACAGTCACCTATTTGTTATGCAATTAAATATGCCTTGAGTCGCTTGTCCCTAGTCCACCATTCTGCTTCCCACAGTGATCAGTCCGGTGCCTCTGGAAGGCCCTCAAGCAGGACATGAAGGTAGCATCCCTTACCCATTGTTAACACCTTCCCTTCCGTAACTGGCCTTGAGAGGTATACTGCCTCTGAACATTGAGGTTCCATTTAGCTATACTAGCCATTGATAGACCTATCCTCTGTAAATTTGTCTAATCCCCTCTTAAAGCCGTTGGCCATCACCACACCAATTGACTGGGAATTCCAGATGATAATTAGGTATTCTGTAGAGAAATACTTTACTGTTGTCTGTCTTGAACCACTGGAGTAGTCCCAAGGGCTAGTTTTCTGCCTGTCAGGGAAGTCTCATTCTACCTTCTTTCCTGATGAGAATGGGTGACCTTTTGAGAGATCCAGGGAACCCAGAGACCCTAGGAGGTGCCATTAGGGCTTATGAACGGCAGCGTTTTCCACAAAGGGACAGGCTTGTGTCACAGTCTGTTCTTTTGGGGACACCTGGGAGTTCAGGATCTGGGGCTCCCAGCGAGTGGTGGTTGCCCAGTTACCATAAACAAATCAGCCTGTTTCCACTTAAAAGGAAACAGGAGTTATTCTTCAAGAGACCATAAAGAAGGAAAGTGGACTCCAAACAAGTGTGTCTTTTTTCTATAAAATTTATTAAACATGAAAAGCAGGTAAATTAGCAAACATGGATATAAATTAAAGCAAGTTTCTTTCAGGGCGTGGCGATAGGCTTTTCTGCCCACGTCGACCAGTCCAGTCCTTTGTGTAATCACGACTGTTCTCAGTGTTCCAAAACAACCCTCCATATTTCGTTTCAGAGGAGAGCCTTGGTGTGCCATAGAACAGCTAATATTTGAGTCCAGTAGCACCTCAGAGACTAAGAGAACTTTGCTGAAAGCGTATACCCCCAATATCTGGTTGGTCTCTAAGGTGCTGTTGAATTCGAACCCAGCGTCCCTTCGTATTTAGGTAAACAAGCTCCACTGGAGAGAAGTCAGTCACAGGTTGGCGCCACCTGTAAGGAGAGGCAGATAGCCGGCTCCAAAAGGACGAGCAAAGCAGAGCAAAATTCATGGGCTGCCTGATTCATGGGCTTAGCAGAATACCTTCGTCAGAGTATGCAGAGTCCTTAAACCGTGAGGCCTGCTTACGGCCTAAAAAGCATGGCTGCCACATGCTTTCCCTGGCGCTGCTGTGGCTGCCGAAACTGCACAGCAGTGACAGCGCTTCTGCATGGCAGGTTTCTCTGCATTTTCACTGCCACAGGCCCCTGGCAGTGGCCATCCCCTCGCCCATACTGCCAGGGCTTTTTAATATTTTTAAATCAGTGGTTGGCATCTCGCTATAGCACTATGACAATCATGTTCTGTGAATTCCCCGCTTTCATTTAAAAGGGCAGGGGGAGTTACAAGGGGAAAGGAACTAGGGACATACATTATTTGTTAATGGGGTCATTTTGTAGAAAAAGAGGTCCAGGAGCTCATTAGCAGAACTTATTAGTATAACTTATTTGCATATGCCACACCCCCTGACATCACCGGAAGTGTGTCAGAAGGCAACACCCACCGCTCAGGCTCCACTGGACTGTTTTGGATTGCTAGCTATTGGGGTGGGGGAAACATGCAGATCTGTCCTCACAGAGGAGGTAGTGCTTGTACCTGAATAAAATTTGGTCTTAAAGGTGCCACTGGACTGTTTTGGGCTGGGGAGGGGGGGGCTCTGCAGCTTACCTGGCTGCTTCTTGCTCTGACTGAGGGCTGCTGGGAGCAGGGGCTGGGGCTTGTTGCATGTGCCCGCCCCCTGGGCTCTTTACTGCCGGAGCTCCGCTCCTGTGTGCTCCTGCAGGAAATGACTCCTGAACTGGGAATTCATAGAACCTCAGAAGCCAACAGTCATAATGCTATAACAGTATTCAGTTGCGGGGGGGGGGGGCGCTTCTGGGTGTTGGGGAGAAATGGCCACTGCAGGATACTGGGACAGGAGGAAGACACATGAACGTGGGCAGGACAGGTATGAGAGACTTTCCTGTCTGCATGGACATCATCCCCACTTTGCTGCAATCTTTCCTAAAACACTGCAGCAAAACAGGTTTGGATAGGATTGCTGGAAAGACAATCTGAAAGATGCACAGGAGAGTCAAGATACTGTGGGAAAGCAAGAAAATAACTTGCTTCACCTAGCTTCCAGGCTGGCCGAGGAAAACAACAGGTGCGTAAGTGACTTATGTGATACAGTTTCCTTGAACATGGGAATCAAACAGTGCCATCTTAAGGAAGCCTACTCAGAATCCCACTCAGGTCTATCCAGTGGGGCTTAGTCCTAGGAAAATGTCCTTACGATGGCATGGTAAAGCTTCCAATAATCCTGTAAACATTGAAAGGAGGGAGTCATGGGATCTGTCTGTGAGTAGATTTGCTTATATTTGAATCCACTCCTGTTGCAAAAGGGTTTAAGGTGCGGTTAATACTCTTTTTAAAAAAAGGAACAGTAAGAACTAATTCAGACAAATTTATGAAAAAATGGATCTTTATCAGTTTTTTGGAATAGCAGACCTCATAATGCACAGCTGTATGTACTGCTATCTTTGATCTGATGAAATCAAGTGTTATATTTAAGTGTTTAAATTTTTTAAAGGAGCATACTTTTCTAGATGAGTGCAGCTTTGCATTTCTTATTTTGTTTGACTTTCACTCTAAAAATTATTATTTTGACTGACGCAAAAGTACCCTTCCACCTTTGTACCATTATTTCACACCATTTCTGAACACCTTTGTATGGTCCTTAGTCTCCTGGTGTGCGGTTGCTTTGATGTTATCTTTTGAATTTGACAGAACATTTCTCACTATTTTTTCCCCTCTAGCTGAGAGCAGATGCAGAACTAACAACCAAACGCTGTTGTTCAAAAATCCCTTGCTGTGTTTTGATGTGCAGAAATGTCTGACTTTAAAAACAATGGCGGAATTAAAATATGCTTTTTAACGCTCACTGCTATGTGGTAATGTAGTTTCAAAGACTTTTAAGCCCCCGTGCTGTGCATTGGTGCACATCAGTGTCTGGAATTACACATCTCTTGCCCTGCTAAAATTAGTGCATTTCAAATACCTCCTGGTCCTGGAAAAATCTTCCTGAAAATGGGAGGGGAATCCTGTCCTAAGGAACATGAAAATATTTTTGAAACTCATCCCACCCAGTTTAGCGACTAGCCTGTTGGATCCATCATGAGCAAAACTGAGCAAAGGCTTAATCTGTAACATTTGGCTGCCACAAGAAGGAAGTGGGAACAGATTTCTCAGAAGGAGATCTGTAAATTACCTGAATCTGAACACAGGCAGTTCCTGAACTAGGGGCCAGCACTTTCAGGATCCCTTTGGCTTCCATATACACTTAAATGACAAAAACACATAATGGCCAAACCACATATTATGCTGGAGCTCTGTTATTAGACCTGCCAATGCAACCACTGGGGAGGGAGGGCACAGCCAAATTGATCAGAGCCGCAGCACTGGGGGAGGGGTGTACAATCCTTTCCCACCCTCATGCTGTTTTTCCTGACCAAGATGACCGGTTGCCAACATCCAAGAGGGGCCTGGAGAGCTCTCGAAATTACAACTGATCTTCAGACTATAGAGATTAGTTCCCCTGGAGGAAATGTGGCTTTGGCTGGTGAATGCAATGGAATAAAAAACACTGCTGAGCTCCCTCCAGGACCACCAGCACATCTCCAGGAATTTCCCAAGCCAGAGCTGGCAACCCAATCCCTCACCTCACCTGTTTGTCCCATGAAGGAAAATGATTGTTACCTACATTTCTCCCTCGCCGGGCACACTGTAGCCAAGGGGCTATTATGACTGGGGAAATGGTGATAGGGCCCTGCTCCAGTAGGCGCATTTCATTAAAAAAAAAAAAGATAATGCAGGAAGATCCAGTCACGGATCCCTTAGGTAACATGTAATTCATCTGTGGGGCTTATGGGGGAATTGGATAAACTATCTTCCTGAAGAGGGGACCAGTCCCATTTTGAAAAACATACAACCCTGTGGCCGGTGGTTGTACGTGTTCCTCCTCCCCCAACTATTTCTAAAAGGAGACATTCTGGGGTTTACGCCTGACTGGAGACCACAGTGCCTGACCTGAATACTCTACTTCAAATCTACAGTGTGTGGGAAGGAGAGGCCCTCTGCACATACTTAGAGGCACATTATTATACCGGAGTATTCAAACAGGTGCCGAGCTTGGATCACCCATGAACTCTTCATTAAGCTGCCTACCTCCTCCCCTATACCACCAGTCTTTCCATGTCCCTGAAGGCCGCCAGTCTTCCAGGCCAACAGAGCAAATGGTAATCCACTCAGAATGAATCCAAAAGTATTCTGTCTCCTCCTCTACAAGTCTGTTTTCTTAGCTGGCTTTCAGCCGATTTAAATATGATGCCGGCAGGCAAAAAGAACTTACCTAAGTGGTGTACCCAGCACCTTGATTAACCTGAAGACCTTATATACAACATGGCAATGTGGACAGATTGACCATTTAACTTACTGGGAAGGGTCCTGTTGGGCTGCTCCTTTGGGAATGTCCCAGGCCCACAAAAGGCATGTCCAGCCTCAGCAGCTGTGGTACCACTACAGGGGGTCACTCGGCTTGGACCGGATCAGCAGAAGCGCAAGAGAAGGCAACAAGGGAACCTCGGTGGTTATCACTGTTGCTGTTGGGTGGGCCGGAGGAGAGCGGCCTTCGCTCCGCTTGCCCTGGACCATTTTAATACGGCCCAATCACAATGCAGCATTAGTGTGCCTGCAGAACAGCAGTGCTTTTTGAATGAATCTCTGGCATGAATCTCTCATTACAGGGTTGCCAGCTCTCGGTTGGGAAATACCTGGAGATATGGGGGGTGGAGCCTGGAGAGAGTGGGGTTTGGGGAGGGACCTCGCAGAGCCCACCCTCCAAAGCAGCCGTTTTCTCCAGGGGAACAGAACCTGGTTGTCTGTAGTCTCAAGTGTAATATCAGGAGACCTCCAGGTGCCCCTTGGAGGTCGGCAACCCTACATTCATAGCATGCACAGCAGCAGAGGCCCAGCATAAAGAAGACTTTGGGTGGGTGCAACATCCCACGGAGGGAGTTCGCCTTTCCCGCCAGGCTGCTGAAAGGGGCCTGATAGCAGGGTGAGAAGCTTTATGTGAAAAGAATGGGGGAGGAGGATGCTATAATTCCGCAGAACAATGTAAAAAAATAAGAAAATGGAAAACTGAGGAAGGAAGGGCTAAAATGCCCTGGTGTTAACAGCTGTGTCTCTTCCTTCAGCCAGGGAGCTGTGCTTTTGATGGCAAGCCTCGGGTAAATCCCCACTATGCTGAGCCCTGCTGTAAATCCTTCCCTTCTTCCCTCCTTTCCTCCTTTCCTCCCTCCCTCCCTCCCTCCATCCTTCCCTTCCTCCTGGTCTGAGTAGGCTGATTGCTTTAGGCCTCCTTTTCTGCAGTAACATCTGCCTCCTTGACCAGTAGGACAAGGTGACCCACCTGCTGGCCAGAGAACATCCGGTTGTGTTATAACTGGCCTGGCCCACTAGCTGATGCCTCTTTTAGGTCTGGTGCCTTGACGCATGATGGCGCCTCAGAGACCGGAGTGGACCAGGCAGATTGGTGCTGTGTCTCCAGAGGCCTGGAGAGCCGTTCTGTCCCCTCAGCATGGTTGGTATGGGAGCCCCTGCGCTGAAAGAGGTGGTCCATCGCCACCAAGTGCTGGAAGGTCTCTGTGGCAAAGTAATATGCCAAAGGGTCTAGAGTAGCATTGACACAGGCCAGGAGCAGGGCCCAGCGGTACACCCTGTCCCAGTGAGCGTTGTTCAGCGCTCCCACTTGGAACCAAAGCAGCACCAAGTGGTACGGCAAGAAGCAGCCCAGGAAGATGGCCACGTTGGTCACCACCATGTGCTGGATCTTGGCGCCTTTGACCAGCTTCATCTGGACAACCGTGCTCTGGTGCACGACCCGCAGCAGGCTGCAAGAGCAGGTCACCATGATGACCAAGGGCACGGCAAAGCTAACCACCATGGCACTGGAGATGCGGGGGTCTGTGATGTATTGGGGGCGGCTGTCAAAGCAGCGCGTGTCGTTTTCCCCCTTCGCCCCGGATGCAAAGTAGGAGGGAATGCTGCCCAGGATGCTCAGGGCCCACACACCTGCACAGATGTACTTGGCTTGTCGGCGCAAGGCTTGGGCCCAGGGGCGGAGTGGAAAGCACACCGCCATGCAGCGGTCCCAGCTGATGCAGGTCAACAGGAAGATGCTGCTGTACATGTTGACCAGGAGCAGCAGCCCTGCAATTTCGCAAACCATCTGGGACAGCGGGGGCCTCTTGCTGTAATAATACACCCTCAGCGGCAACGACGCCAACAGCAACAGGTCAGAGGCTGCCAGATTCTTCATGTAGATGGTGGTGATGGACCGCAGGGCCCCTCTGAAGAAGAAGATCCACAGTGCAGCAAGGTTCAGGGGCAGACCTACCACGAAGAGCAGCGAGTAGATGCTGACAAAGGCCACGTCAGCCGCCTGGCTGCAGTTGGTGTAACTGGAGTTCATCTTTATACAGGGCACGGCTCACTTGGGGGGTATTGCCGGAAGACAACGGATCTTTGCCAATCACCTGTTATCTGCTTCTTTGGGGAAAGAAGGACACAGAGGAGTCAGTTGCTTTGCTAAGCAAAGCTACCATTTCTGGGGTTAGGTGCTTCCTTTGACAAACATTTTCCACCGCTGAGTGAGAACATCAGATTTGGTTAAGTATCTCTGCGTTCTTGGGGCTCAATGAACTCACTGAGAGCCTCAGCACGTCACAGAACTTGGACCTGGTGCCAATGGCTCATTAGTTCCAGAGAGGCTTGCCCCGTTTGTGTTCCTGGGGAAGTCTCCCTCCTCTTCCCTGAGCACAGATTGCCTGAACATTAGCAGTCCGGTTGCCTTCTGAGCCACTTTTGACCCTTTCGTAAAGAATTCACCACAGTGAGCTCTGCCTCCGAGTCAGATCGGGCTTTGTGGCTTTGCAGGGGGCGATTCTGATTTGGCTTTTCCCTCTGTCATTCTACGAAACCCATATTGGAACAGAAATTCCCCTCTGCACTGCATGCCACTTTCATTTTCTTTGATCATCGGATTTTATGGTACCTTCTGCATAGATCTATGGCAGTCAGGCGTTTACCTGAGGTATCTGAGTGTGGTTTTGAGCTGTACCTTTTCCTCAGTGTTGAGAAAACGTGAAGCAAACGCTAGATGCAGAGCCGCCCAGGGTCAGGTCAGCACACCGCAGCTGGTCTGTACAGTGACAACCACAGACTGTCAGCAGTGAACTAAATGCTGACGGCCAGGCAAGGCTATGCAAATCAGGTAGCTCTCCCAACCTCCCCCCCACCCTGCTGAAGGACATGCACAGTGGGGGTGGGGGTGGAAGGAAGGCAGAGAAACCAAGAACAGGACGCCTTTTCTGCAGCAGCATCAAGATATCCTGGTAGAGATGCCAGCCTCCAGGTGGGACCTGGAGATCCCCTGGAATTATAGCTCTCATCTCCAGACTACAGAGATCCCCTGAAGAAAATGGATGCTTTGATGGACGGACTCTGTGGCACTGTACCCCACTGAGGCCCCTGTCCTCCCCAGGCTCCACCCCCAAATCTCCAGGGTTTCCCCAACCTGGAGCTGGCAACCCTATCCCCCCCCACACACACACTCACCCTGCCGACAGCCGGGGGGGTGGGGGTGGCGGAAGGGGCCTGGCAGCCCTACTTGAGCCTGGCCTGCTGCATCCTAAGCAGAATCCCCCTGGCTCTTTTGGACTTTGCTAAATGCCCAGAATAATCAGGGAGGGGGAGCCGAGGCCAGCCTGGCAGGAGGAAGGCTGGGGCTAGGAGCGGGGGGGGGGGGGAAGGGGGGTGGGTGGGCATGTCTGTCTCACGCCTGTTCTCCATGGCTGCATCCACACATCGTTGGAGGTTGTGTTCGCGTTGCACTGTAGCAGTTGCATTGACAAGTGTGGACCAAATAAGCCCGGAGGGAAATGATTGCTATCGAGAAATAGGCAATGGGGTGTGGATGCAGCCCAGCTTTGCCCCTTTGGTGGGACCCAGACAGAGAGTCAGCCACTACTGTGGTCCCATTCCTGCCCTTTTCCCAAATCCTGCCCCCCATCAACGGCCTCTGTGGGGCCATCGCAACTATTCGCTGGGCGTCTTGCTCTGTCTAAAACAGTCCCCTGAGACACAGAGGTCCAGTCGCACCTATTCCCTTGGGACTGTTTCATGCTGGGGAAACGGAGTAAGGGTAGGATGAAGGCTGAAAGCCCTTTCTCCATGTGTCTCATGGTCCTGCTCCTACTCGGGCCCTGCACACGCTGCGCATTGAGAACTCACATCTCACGTAGGATTGTGTTACGACTGGCACAAGGGTGGGGGGGACCCAGACCCAATCTGTGTACACTGTAAGGTGTGATGTTAGACGTGATGCTGGGCAAATAAGAAGAGCTTACACCCATGGCACAAGGTCCAATATTGTGTTGAAACTGTGCTGCGATCCGCACAGTGTTGACACATGTACACTATCGGCATGCCAGCTCAACACCCAAGCCATGCTCTGCCACACTCAGCAGCATGATATCCCACTGAGGTCCATCCCCTCCCCAAACCCTGCCTTCCTCAGGACCCACCCCCAAACCTCCAGGAATGTCCAAACCTGGAACTGGCAAGCCTACAGTTTGCCATGGGAACTGGCACCCAGACTGCAGCTGGGACCGGTGGCACTCCATTTAGGAACACTGCAGGGGCTCCATTTGGATTGGAAACATCGCTCCTTGCCCCCTGCCCCTGTGCTGTTTCCCTGACCGGTAATGACACCATTATTTGCCTCGTCAGGGAGGGCTTCACATGGAGTTGCCAACCTCCAGGTGGCACCTGGAGATCACCTGCTATTACGATCGATCTCCAGGTGATCGAGATCTGTTTCCCAGGAGAAGGTGGCTGCTTTGGAGGGTGAACTCTATGGGGCCCCCCTCTCCAAACCCCACCCTCTCCAGGCTCCACGCCCCAAATCTCCAGGTATTTCCCAACCCTAGCTCCACAATGCAATCGTTCTGACGGCAATTCCTGTTGCAGCCTCCCCTTCTTCTTCGCTGATAACTTGTGATTTGCCTTGTATTTTAAGTCAAGTGAATAAATAAATAAACTTACTTCGCTGAGGAAGAGCTTTGCATCCTAAGAGTCCCGTCGGAACTAGAACATGGCCAGCGCACGAGAAGGCGAAGGAAGCGCCATCTGCTCACTTGACTTCAGCCAGTGAAGTCTTGCTTCCTGCCTTACGAGATCTCAGTTTGAGAGAGCGCAATCCTCGGTAACAAACCACACGCATAGGAAGTAATGTCTCTAGCTACCGGGGCAAGGAAGGAAACCGGCTGTATTAGCATAACCTTTTCAGTAAACTCTGTACCCCAGAGGTGGGACAAGCCTCCCTGGCAGAGAACTCGACGCCATGACAGGCAAGCCAAGTGAGAGGATGGGCTTACAAGGACCAAGTGAGGGTCCTGAGGCCTCCTCTTTGTAGCTACAAGCTCAGCAGTGGGCAGATGCGTGAAGTAGGGTTGCTGGAGACCTCCCAGAAATAGAACTGATTTCCAGATAGGGTTGCCTGGTCCCACCTGGCTGTATCCCTCAAATCTCCATGTATTTCTGAGCCCTATGCATGAGCCATGAGCATCTAGGATTACTAACCTCAAGGTGAGTCCCGGTGTTCTTCCAGGATTATAGCTGACCGATTCCCTTGAGGAAAGTGGCAGCTTCACAGGGTGGACTCTGTGGCATCACATCACCACTGAGCTCCGTCTCCTCCCCAAACTCTGCGGTCCATGTGGCACAACCCTTCACCTCCAGGATTTGTCCAAATCAGAGTTGGCAAGTGGCAACCCTAATGCTATCATCAATTTCATTACTCATGTTACATTGGCCCATCCTCCCTACACACTGTCCTTTTCTGCAAAAGAACCCAGGAGTCCTGTCCTGTTTCCTGATCCTATCCCTTAATGTGGATTTTGGATCTGTCCCTTTGGATCTATGCCTTTGGATCTGTCACTTGCTGATGAAAAGCATGGCTGCGTGGCATCCTCTGCCAAATCAGACCAATGATTCATCTGGTCGAGCATCCCATGTCTCACTATAGACAGCCAGAGGGCTTGGAAAGCCCACAAATGGGGGCCCAGGCAAAAGTCTATTCCTGTTGTTGTCCCCCTGCAAGTGGCGTTTTTACGGCCTCTGAATATGGAGGTGCCATTAGTAGCCACCGATGGACATCCCTGCCATGAATGTGTCTAATCCCCTTTTACAGTCTTTAAAGCTAGTAGTCATTGCTACATTCTCTGACTGCAAGTTCCAGAAGTGCATTATACAGTGTGGAGGGTCGCTTCCTTTTTTTCCCTGTCCTGAATCCATTACCCATCAACTTTGTAGGATACCCTCAAGATCTAATATATTGGGAGAAAAAAGAGTTATGCACTTTCTGCAAACCATGTCCCTTAATAATTCCTCCCTAAACTAAACAGTGCCATACTCTTTAGCTTTTCCTCATAGAGAAGCTGCTGTAATAACCTGATTATTTCAGTTGCCCTTTTCTGCACCCTTCCCAGGTCTATAATGCCCTTTTTAATTTATGTATTTACTTTGATATTTATATCCCACTTTTCTCCTCAACAGGGACCCTATCAAGACCTGCCAGACCTAAAGCAGCTTGCATCAGTCTCCTCTCCTCCATTATATCCTCACAACAACCCTGAGAGGTAGGTTAGTCTGAGAGAGTGACTGGTGCAAAGCCACAGTGGGGCATCTCGGGGCTAGGCCCCCTGACTTACTGGCAGGGCTCCACGACTTCCTATCCGGCCCAGGGCCCCCAAGCAGCAGCAGGTGCAGGGAAGGAGCCGGGTGTTCCTTTACTTCGATTAGCCAGGGCCCCCTGAGAAATCTAAATGCCCCCTGACTTAAGAAATCCTGGCTACGGGCCTGCAGCAAAGTCACCCAGCAAGTCTGCATGGAAGCGTGGGGATTTGAACCTGAGATAAGGAGGCTAGAACTACAGAGAGTATTGCAAATGAGGCTGTTACCTGACAGCGAATACATATAACTGAGTCCTAATCCATTTTACTTCCACGGTGATTCATGTGTGTGTTATTTATTAACATATGCATCAATATTTAATTCATATAAAATATTTATGTATGTGTATTTACTGTTGAGAGGCTCTGCGTAGGCTGCCAGCCTTACCATCTGCTCTTCTGCTCAGGCTACTCCTCGGGCTAGGCAAAAGGAAGGCATGGTGTCTGTGGCCTTGAGAAGTGTGTACCAGGGGGACAGGACAACGGTTCCCATTTGCTCTGCCTGGCATAGAAAGCATCACCTGCCCCACTTCCTGCTCTGACATCACTCAGTGACATAACTGGCTCTTTCTCCTCCGTTTGCACACTTTGCCAATGCATGTTTCGTCAGGAGAAGCTCCTGCTATGATCAATGGAAGTTACTTTTAAATGAGTGGGCATGGGATTGCAGAAATGGGATTATGATTGTTGTGTGGGCTTCGAACCTGCACCCCCTTTCCAGTCATGGAAGAGCAGCAGAGTGGGTCTGGGGCTTTTCAGGTTAGGGGGGGGAAGATGACTAAGGGAGGGGAGACCATGATAGAATTTCATGAAATTATGGACAGAGGTTTCTTTTCTCTCTCTCTCTCTCTCTCTCTCTCTCCCACAAACCTGAACTCAGGACACCCAACGAACTTGAGGGGCAATAGATTCCAGAGGGACAAAAAGGAGTACTTCTTCACTCAGTAAGTAATTAAAACTGTGGGATTTGCTGCCAGAAGATGTAGTGATGGCCGCAAGGATAGGGCGAAATTAAATCTTAAATTTAACACCTCCCAATTGGGTTCTTGCAGCAGAGTCCCTGCTGCGAGTTCTCCATGGCCAGTGTGGTGTAACAATTACAGTGTAAGACAAGGAACTGGGAGACCCAGGTTCAAATCCCCACTCTGCCGTGGAACCCTGTTGGGTGACCTTGGGCTAGTCACATACTCTCAGCCTAAACTACCTCAGAAGGTTGTTGTAATATATCCAGTCCAGACCGCGGGGCCGGCTTTGGCTACCCGTGGTCAGACCCAAACGTCGAGCTTCGCTCCAAGAGACAATGGACTATGCGGATCCTAGCCCGCTCCAATCAGGGGGCTAGGTTCCCGGCCAAGAGCCTATGGGACTCTCGGCCACTGTAAATAACCTATTAGGTAGTAGGGGTGTGTTTTGGGTGGCGGTTTCTTGGGGGGTATAAGCCGGCCTGCGAGCCGGCCCAAGTTGTCTTGTTCCTGATCGAATAAAGTACGTTTTGCTGAAATCACTCTCCGTCTGCATACTTTTCAGTTGTTGTGAACATAAAATGGATAAGAGAATGCTGTAAACGGCTTTGGGTTCCCAGCAGGGGGAGGGGAGAGCATAAATAAAATAAAGTCACTTTAGAAGGGCAGAGGGGCCTGATTCTGATTGGAACTGCAGCTCAGGGAGAGTAAGAGCATTATTTACAAGCATTCACTGCACATGCAGCCTGCCAGTGGAGCAAATAATGCCCCCAGGGCCATTTTGGGTTGTGAAAATGATGCCAGGGGGGAAGGCAGGAGCCTCCCTTACCCCTACCTCCCCTGCCCAGGTTCTGATCCAAATCAGGGAGCTGCAGCACTTCTAAATTGAATTGCCATGGGGAACTCACAGCTGTTATAATGCTGCAAGTTGCCATACTGGTCATGTGCTCTGCACGGTAGCAGGCCAATTTCAGTGATGGGTCAGAGGTATAGCCATTTATGGTATATCTGTTTAGAAGGAAGTTTGTCTTGTGTTACCATATATTCCAGTACTGGAGCCCAGATGCGTGCAAATTTAATGTTTATTGGTGTGGCAGGGTTGTTGTATTCCGTGTATGGAGTCCGTTATCTTGGCCATAACAAATTGTTCCCAAATTTTGTCTTGCCAGGCTAAGATAGTTGGCGGTAAGGAGGATTTCCAGGCTGCTGCAATTGTCAATCTGGCTGTCGCTCGAAGGATTGTGATAAGTTCTCCTCTGATTGAATTGTCCCATAAGTTTAATTTTAAAAAGTCTGGTGTGCAGGGAATTGTTTTATGTGTGATTAAATTAATTTGCATTACCACTTTATCCCAGAACTGGAGGATTTGAGGGCAGGACCACCAGCAGTGTAAATAGGTACCAGTTACCCACACTTTTTCCAGCAGTGCGGTTGGATGGAGGTTTTCATTTTATGTAGCTGGTATGGAGGGAAGTACCATCTCGAAATCAACTTAAAGAATTGAAGGCATATATTGTAAATTGAGGAGTTATTTGTGGGTGAAGCCCAAATGTTGTACCAATAAGAGTCTTGGATGTTTAAGTTAAGGTCTTCTTCCCATCTGTGTTGATGTTTCAGTTTACAGTTCATGTTATCTTCTATCTGGATTAATTTATAGAGTTTTGATAAGGTTCCTTTCGGTGATTTGGGGTAGGCCAGGATTAACTTTTCTAGGTTTGTCAGCTCTCTTTGAAAGGTACCTGAAATAGCTAGTTGCTCTGTCAGATTTTTGTGGTGTAGGTATTGGTGCCACGGTGTTTGCTAACTTAATTTAAGGTCAAAGTAATTTTTATCATGAATCTTGCCTTTTTTTACTAAATCGCGAAGACGTCCTAGATCTGCTGTGATCCAATTATTAAAAGTGTTTGAGGCCATACTAGGAGGGAACCAGTCTTGGTGAGTATATGTTGCTAGTTGAGATATGCCCGTCAGTAAGAGTTTTTTCTGTTGATCTCATACTTGAATTTATGTTGCAAGTAATATATTGTTTTTTATGGTTTTCGGTCTCCTATTCGGTGCAATCCGGAAAAGTTCTTGGAGATTGTATGGTTTGGAGTATTTTTGCTCAATCAGCATCCAGGTTTTTTCATGATCTGTTTGGATAGCATTTGGATTGTATGAGAGAGTATTGATGCTTGGTAGTAATGGTCTCCCCTTCAATAGCCGTATGGTAAATTACGATTCCAGTACATAAACCTATTAGACTATCTGCGTTCTCAACATGCTCAACTTCAAATTTAATTTATATTATCTTATGTTCATGTCCATAGGTGTATGTGGGGAAAACTGAGCGTCCTATCAAAGTTCGAGTGCTTGAACATATTTCCCGCATTAGGAATAACAATTTAGATGCTGCTTTAACTGAGCATTTTGTTCAAAATAATCGTGCTTGAGATGATTTTCATTATTCAGTTTTATTTGTTGCTAATACTACTGTTAACATAAGGAAGGTGTTGCTGCAAGAAGAGTCTAGATGGATATACCAGTTGAATTCACTACTACCTCATGGGCTAAACTCAGAACTTGATCTTAGTTGTTTTCTATAATCATACCTGTATTATGTTAGTTGTAAGTTCAGAACTTTGGCATAGAATGTAAATCTCCTCACATCTGGTATTGTTCCCACAGAGTTCCCACAAATTACACCCTGTCACTTTAAACATGGTTATAATGTCCAGCCACGGCTGCTAAGGTTTGACACTGAATAAAAAATGTTTTGATGTTTATATAGACTGTGAAAGTAATACTATAGGTGGCATTTTACAGTTGGGTTTTTAGAAATAGGAAAAACATACATGGATACACTAGTACTTTAAATACTGTTTGCATAGGCAGACCGTGGCTGGTAGCAATTAGCAGTGGAGACTTTATGTTTGGCTTCTAGAATTCAGCTAATACATTGTGAAGACCTTGGGTTCTGTTATTAGAGAGTCAACATGGAATGTTTCCTTCAAGAGTTGATAAGTAGTCATGTAAGTGACAGTTTTGAGTGTAATGGTTTATTATGATTTTTAAGCTACATTTATAATTGAATGTGTATCTTATTCCTTCTAGTGATAAAAATTGTGATTGCTACATGCTCAGATAAAACAAATATTGTGAAACAAATTGTTTACATTGCACAGCATTTGTTAGCATGTGAGTGATAATAGAAGAGAATTTTCTGCAGAATTACTACAGTAAATGATTTTGCAACATATCTTTATTGGCTCTTCGTTATTTTTGTCACGGATGTTGTTGTTGGACCTCCGGATGGCACCTGGTATTTTTGGCCACTGTGTGACAGGGTGTTGGACTGGATGGGCCATTGGCCTGATCCAACATTGGCTTCTCTTATGTTCTTATGTCCATCAGCTCCACTCCCCCACCCCAGTTATCTGCACTAAATGAAACAGACCTAAGAGGCCAGCCAATCGATCCTGTTGACAGAATATTTTTTGCTGTCCTGTGCTATGGTGACTGGCATTTGCTATGGGCTCTCCTCTGGCTGCCATTCTTTCCATTTGCTTGCCCCGTTGAACTATAGCTTTTGTGTGATGATAGGTACAGATCTTAAACCTGTTGACAGAGAGACAGGAACTGGCATGTCACCAGCACCTTGATTCTCCACATTGCAGAGGAAAAAGAATTCATAGCGTACAATCATGGCTGATTTTTGTATCAGATTTATTTTTTTAAAAAAACCCCAGCTTTGAATCAGTCCTCCTCTAGCTGTGAAGATGGAAAGCAGCATCCTAATGCTGGTAGAGGGAAGCCAGATTTGATAGAAGTGGAGAGAGCACCAGAAGCATTCCCAGGGTTAGGTCGACGTCATGGGCTTGTCCACAGTCTTACCCAAGCTCTCTTCCTTCTAGTGTTCCTTGACCCGTGGGTCACGTGTGGGAGCCCTGCATTGTCCAGGGCCTGCACCTTACAGCCCGTATCCACTCCCCTGAGTCCGTCCATGCCATGACTTCCTTCCCTCAGTGGTGCCTGTGGCCCAGCTACTTCTACTATTTCCTGGTGAACATACCGCCAGGATATTCCCATGCCTGTAGCTGTCCCGTTCCCTGCCTTACTCACCCTCCGTACAGTTCAGGGCACGGAACCCAGGCAGTGTCACACGACCACGTTGTGCTAGGTCTTCCTGGGAGCCCTGGTTCATGCGCCGCACCAGTTCCTTCTCAAAAAGCAATGGGTGATAGGCACCAAGTGTGCAGGCGTCGTCCGAGAAGGTCTGGTAATAGTGGCATTGGTGAGTCTGGCGTCGCGATGGCAGGAACTCGTATAGGTGGATGATGTCACAAAGGGACATCATGAGCACCGTCCCTGGTAGAAGTGGGGGAAGGAAGAGAACCCAGATTAAGCTAATGGCTGGCTTGTAACTGGCATGCAAGGCTGGGAAGCATGATGTGGGATTTAATTTCAGTCAGGGTTTTGCTCCCTAATCTGTCAGTATTGGGAGCCAGTGTTCCCTCTAAGGTGAATTAGTGTGAGCCAGTTCACAGTTTTTTAGCCTCTGGCTCACACGTTTTTGTCTTAGCTCAGGAAGGATGGCTCCAGAGCAAACTAATTTATGCAGTAGCCAAATCACTCACTTTGGCAGTAGCTCACAACGTAGAATTTTTGCTCACAAGACTCCACAGCTTAGAGGCAGCATTCCCTGGGACTTAGTCCTGGAATATTTGAACCCATATAAAAAAAGACAAGAGCTCCCCCGACCGTATGCAGAGTGCTTCTATTGCCACTGCCCACGGTTTGCAATGAGGATCAGGGTGGAATTCTAATTCAAGAAGAAGGGTAGCCACTCCGCACACATTCTGGTGCCTGCTATAGTCTACATTATAGACCACATATATAAATAAATATTTTGATTAAAATATATTTTAAAAAGCATGAAACATAATTTTTAAAAAACACATCTCTTGTTTTCTTTTGAGCTAAGACAAGTAGAAAGTTAAATGAGATCCTGAGATAATGATAAGTGGGCCCATTCTTTAAAATAACTACTAGGATCGGCAGCTTTCAGGTGGGGTATGGAGATCTCCTGGAATTATGACTGATCTCTAGACAACAGAGATCAGTTGCCCTGGAGAAAGTGGCTGCTCTGGGGGGTGGACTCTAAGGCATTATAGCCCACTGAAGTCCCTTGGCTCCCCAAAGCCTGCCCTCTCCAGGCTCCGCCCTCAAATCTCCATGAATTTCCCAACCTGAAGTTCACAACCCTAATAACGAATTCTACCCTGGGTGAGGGGGGGGAAGTTTCCAGGCAGTCTCTGCTCTTCAGGCAGTTTTCAGCCACAATATCTCACTTTAAAAGGAAGTGTGAGACACTTTAACAGTTCGGGGGGCCCCAAAAGGCAACACAAACACTTTCTGCTTCCACAGAGCTCTGTGGTGACTAGAAATCAGGATGTGGCTGCAAAATCCCCAAGCAGGTAAAAGAGCGTGTATTGCCTCCTGTTAGCATGTGGACGGGCCAGTGTCTTCAGAATGCAAGCCGGGCAACTTTGGGGCTGGCAATGCAAAGAGAGGTACATGCAGGGCTTGGGGGGTGGGGTGGAAGTGTCTTTCTTACCAAGCAGCCCCGAGGAAGGAGGATTCCTCTGCACCTGTTCGCTTGCTCCTTCCTGCACCAGTTCCCAGAGCTGCCACTGCAACCGTGGGTGCAAGAGGTGAAAGAGCTGCCAAGGTCTGCGGGAGCGCACGGTGCGGAATGGGCCAAAGAGGGGGTAATCGGGGGCCTCGTACCACTGCGGTGGGAGGAAAGAGAAAGAAACAGAGGGCTGGAGAGCAGAACACTTAAGAGCCAAAATCACCCCAAGCACTTCCCCATAGAGTTGCCAGCCTCCAGGTAGTAATAAAAAATTAATAATTGTCATATGGCAGTGCATGTAGTACTGCCAGGAGATTCTAAGATTGTAGCTCTTTTAGCATTATGTGGTGGCTCAAGTGGTTAAGACGCTGAACTGCAGGCTGTGGAAGGTCGGTAGTTCAGCAGTTCGAGACCCGAGTGTGCCGCATGACGGAGTGAGCTCCCGTCTCTAGTTCCAGCTCCTGCCAACCTAGCAGTTCGAAAGCAAGAAATTGCAAGTAGATAAATAGGTACCACTTCGGTGGGAAGGTAACAGCGTTCCGTGCGCCTCGGTGTTTAGTCATGCCGGCCACATGACCACGGAAACGTCTTCGGACAACGCTGGCTCTTCGGCTTTGAAACAGAGATGAGCACCGCAACCCTAGAGTCGGATTCGACTGGCTTTCAAGCAAGGGAAACCTTTACCTTTACTTACCAACCACTAGGTAGTGGCTGGAGATCTCCCGCTATTACAGCTGATCTGCAGGCAACAGAGACCAGTTCCCCTGGAGAAAATGCCGGCTCTGGAAGGTGGGCTCTATGCCATTGTACCCCACCGAAGTCCCTCCCCTCCCCAAACCCCACCCTCTTCAGGCTCCACTCTCAAAATCTCCAGGTGCTTTCCAGCCTGGATGTGGCAAGCCTTCTCCCCCTGCCCCAGGGCCAGGGTTGTCGCTAACCATTATGCTCAGAGCTCCCCTCACAGACCCCACGGCTCAAGTCACACCCACAGTCCCCCAAAACCACAACAAAATGAATACTCCCCACAACCAGGGCTATTTTGGGGCAGGAACGCACAGGAACGGAGTTCTGGCTGGCTTCCAAGTTGGCCACGCCCAGCAGGAACTCATTAGCATAATAGGCCACACCCAACAGCAGAAACTCATTAGGATTGGCTACATCAGGGGTGTGTGGCCTAACATGCAAAGGAGTTCCTGCTACAAAAAAAGCCCTGGGTTTTGACAACAAACAAGGTAAACAGAATAAGAAGCAAAAGGTGGGTGTGGCTGGATGAGCACACTTCTGGTAACATGGAGGTGTGGCCTGATATGCCAAAGAGCTGTGCTGTCAGGGGTGTGTCCTAATATGCTAATGAGTTTCTGCTGTTGGGTGTGGCCTATTATGCTAATGAGTTCCTGCTGGGCTTTTTCTACAAAAACGCCCTACCTAGGCCTTTCCTCAAGCCCACACTACCCCTGAGGTGCCCTGCTCTACAATCCTGTTGACAGAATTTTTATCTTATGAAAATATCAGGAAAAATGGCATTTGCTAGGGAGGGAGCTTAAGGCCCTTTTCCTGGGCATAGGCTTGCCAAGTCCCCCCGGGGGACAGGGAAACCCCTGCCCCAGAGGCCCGTTCCCCGCCGCCGATGGATCGGGCCCCGGGGGGAACCCCACCCCAACGTGCGTGTCACCCGGAAGTGACGTGACGACACTGGGCACGCTGGGCAGGGCCACAGTCATCCGAGGGAAAACTCTATGGTTTTACCTCGGATGGTTGTGGCCCCTCCCCAGCGTGCCCGGCGGCGTCACGTCACTTCCAGGTGACATGCGTGCGTGCGTGCACTCCAGCCGCCAGTGGGGAGTCCCCCGCTCCGGCAAAATTTTGACTTGGCAACCCTACCTGGGCACCACGGTCCTGACCCAAAATGGTGCCCATGCGCCTGAGAATCTGGTTCAGCTGGGAATTCCTAGAGCACATCTGCTTGGCCTTTGGCAGACCTGTGGGGGATGGACCCATGAACAGCAACGCATGTAGCAGCGCCGTGGTTGCCAACTTCTAGGTAGGGCCTGGACGTTTCCCAGAATTATAACTGATCTCCAAACTACAGACATCAGTTCCCCTGGAGGAAACGGCAGTTTCTGAGGATGGACTATTTGGTATCACATCCCTGTTGAGCTCCCTCCCCTTCCCAAACTCTGCCCCCCCCCCCAGCCATCACTCTGAAATCTCCAGAAATTTCCCAAGCTGGAGTTGGGAACCCTCCCTCAGTGAGACTGCCGATATTATATTGGACCTGTGTCTTTTAAAATGCTATTGTTAGGTTTTTAACATTTATGGATTTTAATGTTTTAAACTGCCATGTTCTCTCCTCCACCTCCTCCAGTGATATATAAATGCCTAGTTAAATAACTGAAGAGCTGGCAAGGGGAAAGCTCAGCCACGGTGAACGGGAATTTGAATCGAGTGACGTAAATATTTCCCATCTGTCAATGTCAAGTGTGAATGGCTAGTTCCTAGTTGTGCAATCCAAGCCCTGAATGCCATCTTGAGGCCTGAACCATCAACTTCATAAGGAAGACTTGCTTGTGAGCTAGAGGAGGAAGGAAATTAGCTTGTGTACGAAGTGATGGGTTGAATCTAATCTGCCTCATGCAGAATTAGTAGGTCTTTCCTTCTTTCTCCGGTAGTCCCCTGGGCCCTGCATAAAATTTCTGCTGTGGGTCAAGGGATCCCTTCTGAACAATATGCCATGTGATATTGGGGTGTGTGTGTGTCTGCCACAAGAAATTCAGTGAAATCCCCCACTCCCTGTTGTAGAAAACTCCACGAACTGGACCCAAAGCTCAAACCGGGGTGGGAATGGACAGATGCTTTAGTCTGCACTGGGCTACCTTCCAGTTTTCATTGGAAGTTGATGGTGGCTCTGCGCAAGGCTAAGGGATTTATATACATTCAGTTCACCAAAGCTAGGTTTTCTGAGGTATCTTTTCACACCTGGGAACTGAAGGGTCAATGGCTTGAATCTAGGCAGCCTGAACAAACAGTGTTACGCACCACATTTACATGCCTCTTCAAGTCCACTGAGTAAAGCTTGATCCCCCAGGGTGAAGTTGAGCTGACTCACTGGATAAGCTTGAGTGTGTCTTTGTGTCCCAAGGGGGTGTGTGTGTGACTCAGTGGCAGAGCATCTGCTCTGCCTGCAGAAGGCATCTCCAACTAACAAGATTAGGTAGCAGATGATGTGAAAGACCTTTGCCCAAGACCTTGGAGGCTTGCTGCCAGTAGACAATACTGACCGTGATGGATAAATGGCATGACTCAGTATAAGGCAGCTTCCCACACCCAGATCTGCAGCTGTATCGATCTCCTACCACAAACTACACAGAGCACATCAGAGCTTACCTCCTGCAGGTCTCCTGGGTAAGGAGCTGGGTCCCAAGCCACTAAGACTCCCTGGGTGTAGAGGAGGCCATCCAGAAAATGCTGCTCAGGGGAGGCCATCAGCTGTGGGGGGGAAGTGTGAGTCAGAACTTGCCTGATTCCCAAGACAAAAGCAAACGGTTTTAGATGTGAGTCGTTTCAGGAGGGCAGCCATGCTCATCGGCAGTAGCGAGTCCGGGAGCACCTTAAAGATCAACAATATCTTCCAGGGCACAGTGAGTCAAAACTCACTTTTTGTCAGCCAACGACGAAGTATCTGACAAAGTGAACTTTTACTCAAAAAAGCTTATATCCTGAACAATCTTGCTGGTGTTTAATGTGCTATATGGTTGCCAAGTCCATCTTCCACCCCCAGCGGGGGTCTTTGGGAGCGTTCCTGGAGGGGGCGGGGCATCCCCGACGTGATGATGTCACGCTGGGGATGTCCGCCAAGCCGGCGTTTCCCTTTTAAATGCAGGAGCTGGCATTTCCCCTTTAAGAGCAGCCGCATTTTCCTTTTAAGAGCACGAAGCTGGCATTTCCCTGCAAGCTTGCGCTTGGGAGGAAACACGGGTTCCACACACTTAAAGGGAGAGAGATGGGTGGCTGTGGGTGTTGGGGGTGGTGCTTCCCCCTCCCAAAACGGGGGACCCCTGGCAAACTGGGGGAGGGGGTTGGCAACCCTAAGGTGCTACCGTATGGGCATTTCAACACAAAAGGAAGAAGGTGTTGTGTTGGGCTGGCTCAATCGGCATTAGCCTGGGCATATAAGAAAGGGCCACGAGAGCCAAGCACTGGTTCATCCCTTCCTGCCCTCCCTCTCATGATCTGCCTAAGTTCACAGAATCAGCATTGCTGTCAGATGGCCATCTAGACTTTGCTTAAAAACCTCCAAAAAAGGAGAGCCCATCACCTCCTGAGGAAGCCTGTTCCACTGAGCAACCGCTCTAACTGTCAGAAAGTTCTTCCTAATGTTTAGCCAAAAACTCTTCTGATTTAATTTCAACCTGTTGGTTCTGGTCAGACCTTCTGGGGCAACAGAAAACAACTCCATACCATCCTTCTCATAATCTGCCTAAATTCATAGCAAGTCATGTTTCGGGATGGGCACAAACTGAACCACAAAGCACAATTCATCATGAATTTTGCCCTGTTTGTGGTTTGCTAACCAAAGTTTGTGACAAGTCTACTTTTAAAGCAGTTCATGGCGGTTCATGGATAGAGCAGAAAGCATGGATTTAAATGGACTCCGAGTCCCTTTAAACCACTGCTTCCTGTTCCCTGTGAAAGCCACAAAAACAGTTGAGTGGTGGGGAGCAGCCTGCTCCCCGCCACTCAACTGTTTTTCGGGATTATTTGTGTAATTCCTTTACATTAAAGACTGCATAAGAAAGCCTGAAACAGCTGTTTTTCTGGCTTTCTGCCAACCCTGTTTCAACGGGGTTTCTGGGACCACGAACCACGAACCACGAACCAGTTTGGTTTGCAAATTAACTTCCCAGTTCGATTCGGTTGGTGGTTCGGTTGGTGGTTTAGCCATGAACCACAAACCAACATGAACTACATTGTTCTGGTTTATGCCCATCCCTAGTAATTTTTGATGGGTACTGTGTTCTGCGGGCTCAATTGAAGTTCACAGGAGTTCAGCTCCTCTACAGGAGAGACAGAACAATTCAGGCGGTCCTTCCCAGAGGCTAACTGATCCCAAAGGGTGCCTCAATGACATTATACCTCACTGAAGTCCATTTGGAGAGCCAGTTTGGTGTAGTGGTTAAGTGTGCGGACTCTAATCTGGGAGAACCGGGTTTGATTCCCCACTTCTCCACTTGCACCTGCTGATGTGACCTTGGGTCAGTCACAGGCTCTGGCACAGCTGTTCCTGAAAAGCAGTTTGTGTCAGAGTTCTCTCAGCCCCACCCACCTCACAGGGTGTCTGTTGTGGGGAGGGGAAAGAAGTTTGTAAGCTGCTCTGAGACTCCAAGTGAAGGGTGGGGTATAAATACAATCTCTTCTTCTTCATGGCCCTCAGGATGGTTCTTAGGTATGTGGTTTTAGCAGCATTTGAGTCTTTGTACAGTTATTTTTTTTTTCATTGCTATGCTGCCCGTCCTCTAAGGAGTTCAGGATAATGTGCACTGTTCTCCTCTCCATTTCATAGTCACAACAATCCTGTGAGGTAGAATAGGCTGAGAGTGACTGGCCCAAGATCACTTAGTAAGCTCATAGCTGGGTACAGAATTCAACCCAGCTCTCCCCACTCCTTGTCCTACACTTTCACCAAGACACCACATGGCCGTCTATTACATTTGTTCACCAAGATATATTTCTGTTCCACATTTGGTATTATTTCATTTATTGTCCTGGGGTTATTTTATTGAAATTAGGTTGATTGGTTCACTGTGTTTTAAATGAGGGTGAGCGTGTCTGTAGTTCAAATTGGCCAAAAAGTAGAATAGGGATTTATTTAATTAAATAAAAACAAAATAAATGTCTCAGTAATCCTTACACCATCCCTGCAAGCTACGCTACTACCATCGTTACCATACTAATTTGGGCCAGAGACAAACTGAACTTTCCTAAGCAAGTTCAAACCTGTAATTCATAAAACAGGCATGTAATAACCATGACTACGATGTAAATTCAACTGTTTCTACAAAAAAATAAATAAATAGGGGGCTTTTCCATTTGCTTGGAGAATTGAAACTGAACATGCAAACCACAGTCCTGCACAGAGATAGATCTAAGCTCTAACAATAATTTGCCAAAGTATCTCTAACTGCAGCCCCAGAATATTTCAATGCTAGTGAAAGCTCCTCCCCACTCTCCAGCTCCCTGTCTCTTCTCCCCCTACTCAGGAGACTTTTCTTCTTATGTCCAGCCCCCCTGTCACCCTTCTGCCCCGGTGCCCCCACTCCTCATGGTACACCTGGGAGTTCACAAGGCGGAGGCTGGTTTTTGTGCCCACGTCACGTTCGTAGCCCATGGTCGGCGCTCCATTGAAGCGAAGAACAGCATCATGGGAGTCTAGCAGGGGGAGAAAAATCAGGGTGTGTGAGAGAGAGGCTAGGCAGATCCCCAACTCAGCCGTCGCCTCAGTCCTAAAATATTAAGGGTATGTACCTCAATGTGTACCTCAAAATTCCTGGTGGGAGGTGAAGGAAGGCAAAGTAATTGAGGGCCTGAGACCCTCCGCACATGCACACACACTTTGCTAGCAGTCTTAGAGCTCAGCTACATAGAAATGGTCCGCTCACACATATACCCATCAAGCTGGGCAGCAGGGCTATTTTTGGGCAGAAACGCACAGGAACGGAGTTCCGGCTGGCTTCCAAGTTGGCCACACCCAGCAGGAACTCATTAGCATAATAGGTCACACCCAACAGCAGAAACTCATTCGGATTGGCTACATTAGGGGTGTGTGGCCTAACATGCAAAGGAGTTCCTGCTCTAAAAAAGCCCTGGGTTTGGACAACAAACAAGGTAAACAGAATAAGAAGCAAAAGGTGGGTGTGGCTGGATAAGCACACTTCTGGTAACACGGGGGTGTGGCCTAATATGCCAATGAGCTGTGCTGTCAGGGGTGTGGCCTAATATGCTAATGAGTTTCTGCTGTTGGGTGTGGCCTATTAAGCTAATGAGTTCCTGCTGGGCTTTTTCTACAAAAAAAGCCCTGCTGGGCAGGATATAATATTTGGGTTATCAGCTTTGGGTTGAGCGATGCCTTCAGATTTGGGGGGTGGAGCCTGAGGAAGGTGGGGTTTGGGGAAGCTAGGGGCTTCAACGGGGTATAATGCCATGGAGTTAGGGTTGCCAAGTTGAAATTTCTTCGTAGCGGGGGATTCCTGCCCCGTGGCCACACGCACGTCACCCGGAAGTGACGTGACGCCGCCGGGCACACTGGGGGCAGGGCCACGGCCATCCAAGGGAAAACCATAGAGTTTTCCCTCGGATGGCCGTGGCCCCGCCCCTAGTGTGCCCGCCGTCGTCACGTCACTTCCGGGTGACACGCACGTCGGGGTGGGGTTCCCCCCGGGGCCCAATCCGCCGGCGGCGGGGAACGGGCGTCTGGGGCGGAGGTTTCCCCGTCCCCCGGGGGGACTTGGGAAGCCTTCATGGAGTCCATTTTCCGAACTGACCATTTTCTCCAGGTGAACTGATCTCTGTTGCCTGGAGATCAATTGTAATACTGGGAGACCTCCAGGCCCCACCTGAAAGCTGGCAACCCTACTTAATATGCATCTTAGCTAAGACCCATCACTTACCTCCCATGCCAAGAATCAATGGGTACGCGGATCGTTTTAAAAAGTGGCTCAGAGGATATACAGAATGCCTGTCCCATCTACACCTTCGGGAATAAAGGTTTGGCCAAACATACTTTGATGTACAGCAGGGTGAAGGCCACAATTTGAGAAAGGTCAAGAAGCAAAAAAGCAGGACTAGCTACAAACAGAGTTGCCAACCTCCAGGCGGTGACTGGAGATCTCCTGGGATTACATCTAATCTCTAGACGAGAGAGGAAACGGCTGCTTTGGAAGGTGGGCTCTATGGCATTATACCCCACTGAAGTCCCTCCCCTCCCCAAGCCTTGTCCTCCTCAGGCTCCACCCCCGAAATCTCCAGGTATTTCGCAACTCTGAAGCGGCAACCCTAGTTTCAAATCCTGAGTTGATCTTGGAGAATGTTCTTTGTTCTCCTTACGCGCTCAAGCTTCCCGTGTGCTGGATCTAGTAATGTTTCTGTAGAGGCACCGCCAGCTTCCTATTAAAATCTTAGCGAAATCATAGCAATTACTAGACTCGACTATTGTTAATTCAATCAACATGGGGCTGCCTTTGAAAAGTTCTCGGAAACTTCAATTATTCTAACATGCAGCTGCTCAGTCGCAGTCTGGGTCTTGCTGCCGAGATTACATTACACCTGTTTTGATCCATTGACGCTGGCTGGCTGCCAGTTTGTTTCCAGACTCAACCCACAATCCTGGGTTTTTAAAAAAACCTTTAAAGGGCCTTGGGACCAAGATACCTATAAATACTCTGAGATCACCTTCTCTAATATAAACCTCCCCAGATGCTGAGACCTTGTGATGGGTGGAAATACACAGGACGGGGCTTTTTTTTTGCTTGTAGTTGCACAAACACTATACAGTGCTCTGCCCGGGGGAGTTTATTTGGTATCCACCTTGATTTTTAGAAGCTATTTCACTTAGCCTTCTCGCTGCCAGACACACAAATATAGCCCATGCAGATGCCAAGGTTAGGGGAGAAGGCTGTTGTTATGGTTGCCAACCTCCTGGTGGGGCCTGGAGATCTCCCAGTATTAGAACTGATGCCTCTTCCCTGGAGAAAACGGCTGCTTTGGAGGGTAGCCTCTATGACATTACAACCCACTGAAGCCCCATTCCTCCCCAAACCCTGTCGTCCCCAGGCTGTACCCACAAATCTCCAGGAATTTCGCAACCCAGAGTTGGCAATGCTACATCTTATTGTGTGTGCATGTGTCAAATGCTGTCAAGGGTTTTCAAGGCAAGAGACAGAGGTGGTTTGCCATTAGAGTTGCCAGCCCTGGGTTGGGAAATACCTGGAGATTTTGTGGGTGGAGCCTGGGAAGGGCGGGGTTTGGGGAGGAAAGGGACTTCAATTGGATAGGGTGGCATAGAGCAGGGGTGGCCAAACTGCAGTTCGGGAGCCACATGCGGCTCTTTCACACAGTCTAATTTAATGTTGATAAAAGGCAAATTTGCATATTTTCCAATAAAACCGTGTTTGTAATATTTGTTCATGCCTTGCAGCTCTCAAACATCTGACGTTTATTCTGTGTGGCTGTTACGTTAAGCAAGTTTGGCCGCCCCAGCATAGAGTTCTCCTTCCAAAGCGGCCATTATCTCCATGTGAATTGATCTCTGTTGCATGGAGATCAGTTGTGATCCCAAGAGTTCTCCTGCCACCACCTGGAGGTTGACAACCCCATTCACCATTGCCTTCCTCAGCATAGCAGCTGTGGAATCCCTTGGTGCTCTGCCATCCAAATACTAACCAGGACCAACTTTGCTTAGCTTCCGAGATCTGACAGGATTGGGTTAGCTTAGACAATATAAATTCTAGTGATTTTCAGACCTTCATTCACAGTTTACAGAGGTAGGCCTACAGTTAAGCAAAATGAGTGGATTGCTACAACCACACATCATTTAGGGCACTGTTGAAAGGAAAGTTTACTCAACAGTGCAATCCTAAGCAAAGTTACATCTTTCTGAGCCCATTGATTACCATGGACTTAGGTATAAGTCCATTGGGACAGGAGAAGGTGTCTTGGTGGAAATTAGTTATTTCAGTTCCATGGATATAAACTGTTTATGGCTTAGAGCCCTCCATAGGTGACTTCCGCTCCGTTGCTGCTTGCACACTCACCAATCTCCTTGCCCAGTCCAGATCCCAACATGGAGCCGGCGGAACTCACTACCGCACACCTCTCCAGAGGCCCCATGTCCTCGGCCAGGCTCCTCTGGGGCAGCACTCCAGTCCACTCAGGGGCCGCAAAGGGGCCCTCATCCTCCACCAGGGTCCTCACATCCACACGGGCTTTGAGGTGGCACAAGAGCTCCATCCCAGTCAAGCGTGGGACTCCTTGGCGCATCCCAACATCTGGGGGCACGTGGTACTTGTTCATGGCCTGGTAGTTTCGGAAGACCTGCTGGAGACGGGGGTCCAGCACCTGAGACGAGAGCTCCTTTTGCCAGACAGGCCAGGGCAGGGGCTGGGCAGAGAGGCTGGACTGGGAAGCCCTCCGGTGATGCCGCGACCCAATGAGCACCTCCACGAGACGTTGCCAGAAGCTCCTGCCGCTGGAGAGGAAAGAACCCCAAGATGGAGCCCGTGGCACAGAGCCAAAGTTCCGGCTGCCAGACTCAGCGGGGAGGAGCTCCAGAGTCCTGTTTCCCGCATCAGGGGATTGGATGCCCCGGAAGACTGTTCCCATGGAAATGGAGAGGCCCCGGCCCCCACGTGGCCCCAAATGCAGCACGAGCCCCAACTGCAGGCAGATCAAGTAGACCATGACCAGGCACAGCAAAATGAAGCTCAGCCAGACACACCCCCTTCCCCACCGCCGGGGAAGCCGCAGGCAGTGCCGGGGGTCCATGGACCTGTGGAGAGATGGATAGCTTGAGAGGAATGACAATGTGGCACTTGCTAAGCGAAATGGCCACTACTTGTACTTCCGGCCATTCCTGTAACACACTGCTTAAGCTGTGAAAGGCTTCTAAGAGCCCTGCTGGATCAGTCCAAAGCCCAGCTAGGCCACCATCTTCTTTTGGACAGATACAGCCTCTGACAATTTGTCTAATTCCTTTCCAAAGCCATCTAAACTAGCCACAGTGAATTCCATACATTTATTTATTTATTTATTTTATTCAATTTATACCCCGCCCTCCCCGCAATGCGGGCTCAGGGCGGCTTACATGGAGGCAAACGCCAATACAAAACATATATAAAACCATTTAAAATCACAAATATACAAAAGCATTTTTAACAAATTATAGACTAAAGTGCTCTAGGTGTTCAACATGATATTTCAAAGATGGCGTGTTTCAGCTATTCAGCATCATCTGCTCCAGGGAACACTAGTGTTCCCTCCTCCAGGGCCAGGTAAAGATGGAGTAATGGTGATGGTAGTGGCGGCTCCTACTCATACGCCTGGTGGAAGAGCTCCGTCTTACAGGCCCTGCGGAACTGCACAAGGTCCCGCAGGGCCCGGATCTCCTCCAGGAGCTCGTTCCACCAGGTAGGAGCCACCACTGAGAAAGCCCTGGCCCTGGTAGCGGCCAGCCTGGCCTCTTTGGGGCCTGGGATGACCAGGAGATGTTGGGTCCCGGACCAAAGTGCTCGCGGGGGAACATATGAGGAAAGGCGGTCCCTTAGGTAAGCTGGACCCAGACCATGTAGGGCTTTAAAGGTAAGAACCAGCACTTTGAAACCAATCCGGTATGCTATTGGCAGCCAGTGCAGCGCTTTCAGCACAGGCTGGATGCACATTAACTGTATGCAGTGTTTCCTTTGTTTCCTTTTACCTGCCTGAAACTATTGCCCATCAATTCCCTTTGGAGAGAAATGTCCCTGTCCATTCTCTTCACACCACTGTAAAATTTATAGACCTCTCCCATGACTGGGTTTGATCCAAACTAAATTTTTCATGGAAGAATGGAAATTTCCTGCTTCCCTCATCTCACTGTGGCTCCGTGATCTCCACAAAATGCTGCTCATGGGAAACGGGGTCCTGCTGGGAAGGTCATGACATTAGGGAAGTTATGGCATGTGAGAAGTCTGCAGCAGGAAGGGGGAATTGGTGGAAATTGCCAATTTAGTCTGCATCCAATCCACTAACTTTTTATAACTTTATTTTTATAACGTTTTTCTGATAACCATACAATAAACAACAATACAAAATCAACATATTTAGTAGGTAGTATAGTCATACCATCTTTTACATTATTTATATAATCAAAGAACACAAACCATTTTTCAAAAAATCTTGATTTCCTTTCTGGGTATTCTGCTTCTAGCAGTCGTGTCGCTGTTTTGCCCATAACCACAATGTCCCATAGCTTCGTAAACCATTGTTTTACATTTGGAATTTTATCTAATTTCCAAACCTGAGCAATTAATGTTTTAGCTGCAATTAGCATTAAAGAAATCAATTCTTCTGTTGTTTGGGAAAAGATCCCTTTATCCCAATGATTTAGTAAAATGGATTCAGAAGTGTTTGGCAGATTTATTCCCAAAATGGATTCTATTTTTGTAATAACTAGATTCCAAAATTTTTGAACTTTTGGACAGGACCACCAACAATGGTAAAAAGATCCCGTCTGATTACAGCCCTTCCAACACTTGGGATCCTTCTTTAGCTTAGAATGAAACAATTTCAAAGGAGTTACATACCATCTCGAAACAGTTTGTAATTTTCTAGTCTGATATTCAATGACCTTGATGTGTATAAACTAGGGGACCAAATTCTTGACCATTGCTCTGGAGTTAAAATTATGTTGCAATCTTTATGCCAAACCAATTGCTGCGTAGATTCCATGTCCCAGTTTTTTTGGGCTAGTAGCTTATATAAAATAGATATTATCCCTTTATGTTCTACTATACTATATAGATGCAACGAACATGAAATTGAGCAAACTTCAGAGGACGGCGGAAGACAGGAAGGCCTGGCGTGATCTGGTCCATGGGGTCGTGAAGAGTCGGACTCGACTGTGCGACTGAACAATAACAATGACAACAAATACCTTCATATAAAATAAATATTATCCCTTTATGTTCTACTATATCTTTATCTATTAAAGTTTCAAACGCTGTGAGGGGTCTGTTTGTACTTTCAACCAAGTCATTGCTAGAAATCATATTAGAAAGTTGCTGATATTGAAAGCACGGGATTTGTATGTTGTGTTTTATTTCCAGTTGTTGAGTTGACCATTTCTGGTTTTTATAACATAAATCCATAATTCTAAATTTACCAGCTTGCCATTTATATGCTCTCCACGAGGAAACCATTTTTGTCCTAAAATAGCAGACAATGGTGATGTACGAGGAGCTACTGTATTTCTATTGTTGTCCCATATTTCTAATGTACTTTTCAAAAAAGGATTGCTATCTAAAGTTTTAGGTCTGTCTCTTGCTTGAGCCTATATGATTTCATGAAGATGTTTAGGTAACACAAAATATTTTTCAATTTGTACCCAATCCTTGAGTGTTGTTGAGGACAGATAGTGTAAGACATGTTTTAGTTGGGAAGCCTCATAGTAAAGTTTCAAGTTAGGCATACAAAGTCCACCTTCTTTCAAGGGTCTAGTTAGTAATTGAAAGTTTATACAAGGCTTCCTATTGTTCCACAAAAACTTAGAGATCTTTGATTGCCAAGATTGTAAAATTTGATTTTTGATACTAATAGGGAGATTTTGAAATAGAAATAAAAATTTAGGAAAAATAATAGTCTTTATTAGTTCAATCTTTTCTAAAAGTGAAAGATTCACTTTTGACCAGGTCTGAAAAAAATTAATCACAGAGTTTACCAGTGCCGTATAATTAAAGTCAAATAGCTTTTCTATATCCAGAGGTATCTGAACTCCTAAATGCCTCCATGAATTAACTACCCATTTAAAAGGGATAAAGAGTTTGAGATTTCTTGTTTCTCTAATTCCATTAAAAATACTGGGTATAACTCTGTTTTAGAATAATATATTGTAAACCCTGAGATCTCACTAAATTTACATAATATTTCCACTATCTGTTCTAAGGAATTTATAGGATCACAAAAATACAGAACCACGTCGTCAGCGAATAAACTTATTTTGTATTGAACTGAGTCAACTAAAATACCTTTGATTAATGGATTGTTTCTTATAGCAAAAGCTAAGGGTTCCAGTGAGAGGGCAAACAAAATGGGAGAAAGTGGGCATCCTTGTCTGGTTCCCCTGGATATTTCTATTTCATCAGATCTATGCCCATTGATGGTAAGTTATGCTTTAGGTGCATGATATAAAGTGTCAATTGACCTCAAAAAATTTGGGCCAAAACCCATATGTGCTAAGACTTCTTGTAAATACACTATTTCCAATTTGTCAAATGCTTTTTCCGCATCAAGCGCCAAAATTGCCGAATTAATTGCCTTGAATCTACAATAATGAACAATATTTAATGTTCTCCTGATGTTATCTAGCAGGGAACGTCCAGGAATAAATCCTGCTTGATCCTTATTTATATATTCAGGCATTATTTTGTTTAGGCGGAAAGCTAATATTGTTGAATAAATTTTAAAGTCATGATTAAGTATCGAAATTGGGCGATAGGATTCGGGTTTGGCCTTGTTTTTTCCTTCTTTAGGTATAACAATCATTTTAGCTTCTCTCCATGTTCTGGGCATTTCGCCAGTTTCCATTATATAGTTACAAGTATGTGTCAGATGGTCTTTTATTAATTTATTATATTTTTAAAAAAAATTCTATAGGAAGTCCATCCCTTCCCGGAGATTTATTATTTTTTTATCCTAGAGATTGCTTCTCCTACCTCTGTTTTTTATATAGGCTGATCAATGAATTTCAAATGATCTTCAGAAAGTTTTGTATCAAATTTTATAGATTTAAGATAGCTTTGTATATTAGCTCTATTAGGCTTCTCGGAAATATATAAGTTTTGATAAAAATCTTGAAAATTTTTAATGATGTCTTTAGAGGTGTTCAACGTCTGCCCCTGAGGTGACTTAATAGAATAAACTTGATTAGAGGCTTGTTTAACTTTGTTTCCGAGCCACTGAAAAGATTTCGGGCTTTTTGTCATATATCTTTGTTTAAGATACATTAATTTTTTTTGAACTGCAGAAGTTTCCAAAGTATCTAATTTTTTTCTTTCTAAATTTAATTTTTTCAACAATTCCCCCCCCATATTTCATGTGTTTTAACTCTAATTTTTTATGTTATCTTTTATTTCAGATACTAATTTATGTCTTTCTTTTTTATAGAAGGATGCCAGCGATATAAATTTCCCTCGAAGCACCACTTTGAATGTATCCCATAAGATGTCCTGTGTAACCTTGCTGTTGTTGTTCAAAATATTCTGCTATCTCTTTTGAAACTGCTTCAGAGATAGATGAATTTTGAAGCAACAGCTTATTTAACATCCAGGTTGGGCCTTTCAAATCATTAGAATATTCTGCAATTGTGCTAATCACCCATGAGTGGTCTCAAGTTATTCTACTGACTATATCTGCCATTTTAATATTATTTAATAAAGATTTCAAAATCAACAGATAGTCTATTCTAGTGTAAGTTCTATGTACTCATGAATAATAAGTGTATTCTTTTACCCCTGGATTTAGTGTCCTCCATACATCTCCCAGATTATACCTATCCAATAAATCTTTTAAGCCTGATGATTTTATGTTGTTATGCTTTTCTTTAGGATTTTTATGAGTTTTGTCTACCTTAGGGTCATTAATAAAGTTAAGGTCACCTTCCATAATTATATCACCTTGTTGGAAGGATGCTAACTGTTCCAGTGTTG